CGCAACGTCCGCTCCGACCTGGCCACAGTGATCCATGTGATGGTCACCTCCAGGCTTCACTACTGTAATTCGCTCTATGCGGGGCTGCCCTTGAAGCTGTCCCAGAAACTCCAGCGGGTGCAGAATGCTGCAGCGAGGCTCCTCACGGGGTCTCTGCCATGGGACCATATTCACCCAGTGCTTTTCCAGCTGCACTGGCTCCCGGTGGAGTACAGGGTCAGGTTCAAGGTGCTGGTTTTGACCTTTAAAGCTCTTCACGGCTTAGGACCCTCGTACCTACGGGACCGCCTCTCCCGGTATGCCCCACGGAGAGCCTCAAGGTCCATAAATAGCAACACCCTAGAGGTCCCAGGCCCTAAGGAAGTCAGACTAGCCTCAACCAGGGTCAGGGCCTTTTCAACACTGGCCCCGGCCTGGTGGAACGCTCTGTCTCATGAGACCAGGGCCCTGCAGGATCTGATTTCTTTCCACAGGGCCTGTAAGACACAGTTGTTCCACCTGGCCTTCAGCTTGGAATCAACTTGATCCCCTTCCCCTCTTTCCTTTTTCCTTCTTCCTTCTGTGATGGAACTCCTATTTGGGGACTTCCCTGGCTTTTTTCTGGCCCACGTAGGACCAGTCTGGATAGTTGGCCTTCATGAAGATTTGACGTTTTCATCCCCCAAAAGTTTTTGATTTGAGTTTCTACTGAAACAAGGCTGTATTTTAATGTTGTATTTTAATCTGGTTTTGAAGTTGTATTTTAATCAATTGTTTTTACCTGGTGTTAGCTGCCCTGAGCCCTGTCTTGGCTGGAGAGGGCGGGGTATAAATAAAAAAAATTATTATTATTAATATTATCATACGGACGGTGTGCGGACGAGGCATGAGCGGTGCCCACACTGACTTTGTGCGTGCCCTCCGCCGCTCTACAGCTGGGGGGAGGCAGCGGGCCATCTTGTCACCCCCCCAGTGCGGTGCCCGGGGCGGCCCGCCCCCCTTTGTACACCCCTGGGTGCAAAGGAAAGGCAGGTGTCTTGGGAGATGCGAAGGTCTTCAGAAAAAGGAGCCTTCAAAATGGAGGTCTAGAATCTCTTTGAACCAACACCTTGAACTTACCTCAGTAGCTGTTTGGCTGCCCGTGCTATTGACTCCCTGAGCTTTCCACATAAAAACCACCGTATCAGACCACATGGGCTCCTTGCGAGCTTGCCTTGCGCGCTTGATAAGAGACATTTACAGCACCTCATCATTTCTGAGTCCGGCCAAATTCCCACTGCGGTGATTGACGTGAGAATGAGTGCTTCAATCACACACCCACTTCTTTGATTGCACATCGCATCCATCCCAGACTCATCGCTTCCCATAAACTCCTGTCTCCAAAACAAAGGCAGTTTCTCCCTCTCTTCCTCCTGCTATCATCTGCCCATCGCCCGTCACCCTAATCAAGTTGTAAATTAATCCCCCAACTCTGGCTAAGAGATTTCTGACCAGAGAGATATTTTTAGCCCTTCCTTTCATGACACAGTTCGGTATCTTTGTTGTCGCTTTTAAGGGAGAAAGGAAGAAAATGTTCAAGTGGGGTTAAAGGACTGATGGTGCTTGACTCCTAATCAGACGTGAGGAATGGCTTTTATTCTGACTTGTCTCCCACAAGCCCTCTTCTCAGAAGTTGCTTAAATGATTGCTAAGGGACTGCAAAGATATGTCTGTGCAGGAAATTTTGCAAGGTGGCTCCCTCCAGATGGTGTGGGCATTTCCAGATCCATGGGATCATAGAACTGTAGAGCTGGAGAGGGACCCGAGGGTCATCTAGTCCAACCCCCTGCAACACATCTACAAGTTTCCATTATTGTGGTCTGAGGATGTGGACAAACTGCATCAAGAACTGCAGCCGGCCACTTCCTCGCTTGACCTCTGTCCATCATGGCTTCTTAGAGCTAGCCATAGTGGCCGGATTGGGCGCAACCAGAGAGTAAGCAATGCTTCACTGGAAAAGGATGAAGTGCCGTCCCCTTTGAAGAAGGTGGTGGTGTGTCACTTCCTTAAGAAGTCCATGAAGGAGAGTGTGTTGGGCCTGGGGGTAAACAGTGAAACGCAGTCCAGGTCCAGTCCAGTATCTGAAGGTTCCGCTAGGAGTCAGTCTGACAGGGCGAAGGCAGGACACGAGGCAGGAATCCAGGCAAGAACAGGTACAGGATCTCAGGCAGGATCTAGCAAACAGCAACATTGCTCCCGCAACCTGGGGCGGGGTCCGACAGCCTTTTACCTTTGTCGGGGTAATGGCCGGTCCTGATCCCCCGGCGACTCACCTCCCTGTCTCGCCCGAAGGCAAGCACTCCTCCTGCGAGTACTCAGGTCTCTCCTTCTCTCAGACCTGAGTCTTTGCAGCTCAGGAGACGTTGGTGGGTTATTAGACCCAGGGGCCGCCTCAGCCTCCCCTGACCCAACCGGTAGTGGAGCAGCTGTAAGTGATGGCCCAGCTGGAGGCAACGAGGTCATCCCCACATCTGGAGCCAGGGCAGGCTCAGGCCCCTGACTCAGCCCAGCTGGTGCTTGTTGCAGGGGAACCTGGGCAGACTGGGACTCTTCAGGATCAGGCCCCAGACTTGGTCCAGATGCCGCCTGAGGCAAAGGATCTGCTGCAGACTGAGACTCCTCTGGTTCCAAGTCTGAGGCCGAGTCCCAGGCCATCACAGAGAAGGCCACAGTGGCTATGCTCTGCGCCGCCACAATCGGGGGCAGCAACACATCTGAATCCCAGTTGCTGGAAACCACAGGAGGGGAGAGTATTGCTCCTGTGTTCGAATCCTGCTTGCAGGTTCCCCATAATGGGCTTATGGCTGGCCACTGTGAGAACAGGATGCTGGACTATTTTGTGAACTGCCCTGAGATCTTCGGATGAAGGACAGTATACAAAATAAAACTCTGTTATGTCTTCTTCTTTGGCAATCCCTCGTAGCCGAGTAAGATTGTCTTCCATAAGTGACCCACCCCCACCTCCTTCAAAGGGGAAGGCATTTCATCCTCTTCCAGTGAAGCACTGCTTACTCTCTGTTTGCGCCCAGTCCGGCCACTATGGCTAGCTCTAAGAAGACATGATGTCCCCACTGTGGAAGGATGTGTGGATCCAGAATTCGCCTCCACAGTCACTTACGGACTCATTGTTAAAACCGTGTTTATGGAAGACAATCTCTTCCAACTCTACAATGTGTCTCTTCCAACTCTACAATTCTTTGATTCTGTGATTCTCAAATGCTGCACTAGATGAGTCATTGGCTTGACCCCGCAGAGCTGTTCTTGTGTACACATCCGAGCCAGGCAAGAGAGCTCAAGGAGAACACAGAGCTGCAGCCTTGGGAAAGGGGTGTGGCCCATGGGAGGGGTCCAAGGGCCAGATAGGGATGTCTGGAGAGCCACACTTGGCCTCCAGGCCTGAAGTTCCCCACTCTACTCTATCGCTTGCTTTATTCCCCCCTCCCAAAAATTTTATTTGCATAGAATCATGGTTTTATTGAAGTCAAACAAAGCAAATGCAAAAGAGCAGCACAATAGATCAGGCAGATACTTAAATCAGGTAAGTAGAGTATTTGAGACCATGAGGAAAACCAGATTTCACCTTGTACTGTTGTGGAGAGAGTCCTGCATATCTGCATTTGTTGTATGGAAGATAAAATCCCATCAGACAGAACAGAATCTTTCATGATCCTCCAAGCCTTTGGCAACACGTAACTCACGAGTTGTTGTTTTTTTCTGACAGTGTTAAACTCCACATAATTTAATACCAGAGCGGGAGTCGCAAGTTCTGGGAAGCTTTCCGTTTGGGGGAAATTGAGGTTTCAGCATCCATGGGCACATTCCACTTGTTCCGTGTATAGAAAGCACAGATTTGAGAGGTTTTCCATTCATCCCGCTGCTTTCTCTGGGAAAAGCCACTGTTTACCGCTGAATCAGAACAAACGTCAACCCGCAGAAAAACCGACTGATGTTTGTTCTGATCCAGCAGAAAAGTTTCCTGGGAGAAAGCAGCTGGACTAGCAGAAGCATGTATGAGCCTCATGTCAAGAAAGTTCCTGAGAGTTGAACCCTCTCAGCAGAACTTCTCATAGCTTGATTTCTTGCATCAATCAGGGTTTTTGGACTTGAGGGCTTGAGTGGTGAGTTCCCGCCCCCCCAGTGGAAATAAAGACACATGACACAAATATTCAGGTTAATGGGCTAAATAAGGCCACAACTTTATTGATTACAGGTGATGAGCGGTATTGGCTTAGGCATTGGTCCTAACTGACTATATCCGACTTCAGCCCATACGCTTGAAGTCCAGGAAGGGTTAACCACCAGTAGGGGGAGTCCTGCTGATGCACATCAACTAGGAACTCCCCCGGGGTCACCGCTAGGGGGCGTGCCTTAGGCCCTCACCTCCCTAGGCTTCGGACAGGGCCACGCCCCCCGGAATCCTTTATCGGACTACCCTTCAATATGTGGGGCAGGTGATGGCGCTACCTCCCCTCTTCCATCTACAGAGCAATACCAATGCCTATCTGCCAATACCAAGAAAGTTGTGACGGTTTGCTATGAGACAGGTGAAAACCAAGTGGCTGGGACCAATTTGCCAAGTGGAAAAATTCCTACCAGGCCCCTCAACAGCGACCAACCAAGGTCCATAGCAAGGTCAAGGAACGAAAACCTTATAGGGCGAGAGGGTGGGAAAAAGCAGGAACAGCTGGCAGGTGGGGAAAGAGGGAGATCCCCAGCCGCGTCCCGATTGGCTGGCCAGGGTGTGACGCTGCCGGGAATCCCCCCAATCGCACGGGGCTGGGCTCCAGCCGCCGCGCGTGTGGTGGGGTCGTGAAGCCCGCAACCCCATCTCCTCGGTAGGGCGGAAGTGGCTTTGCAAGGCCTGCTGCAACATTTAACCTACCAACGACCACAATCTCTAGCCTCCCCAGGGTCAGAGATGGCCTTTCCTTTTCCTTTCCCTTTCCTCCTTGGGGTGAGCAAGCCACATTGCTTTCCGAAGCATGCCAACTGTACGCGATGCTCACATCGCTTTCCCGGCACCGGCGAGGTAAGGCGAGGGTTGCAAGCGCGTCACAAATAGAGCTCCCCTCCAGCCAGGAAGCATAATTCTTTGTTCCATCTGCCAGCAAACCTTGGAGCCGGTCAGGAGCTATCTCGCCCTGTGTGAGATGAAACGCAGATCAGGAATTTCGCAAACCGAGGCACGGAGGAGGTGGGGAAACAAGCATATCCCTGGCTGCGCTCGGCCTGACTCGCTGCCGTGTGACAGGCTTCGAGTACCCTCCTGCCTCGGGGTCTGATTCTCTTAATTTACTTAATGAGTAACTGCACCGTCACAGGTTCTGCTTGAGCCGTCACACCAGTGAGCAACGCTAGGGTTTGTTTCAGCATGGAGGGAAGGGCGTCATCAGAGTCCCCCCCCGCCCAGCCGAAGCTCAGTTTCGGCACCTTTCAGGTGGGTGCCATTGCCATTCTAAGACAACAAAGGAGAAGTTCATGCTGAGCTCTGGCACCCCTTTTTCTAGAAAAATGACACTCAGCGTCACCTTCATAAGTCAGCTGCAAGAGACCTTTCTGCGCAACTTGTGAAAGCCGCCCGTGTTTCCTTTTCATTTGTTTATATTTAAAAAATTGTATACTGCTGTGTCGCTTTAAAAAATCTTAATAATAATAATAAAATTTATTTATATCCCGCCCTCCCCAGCCGAAGCCGGGCTCAGAGCGGCTAACAACAGTAAAAGTAACAGTTTACGTAAAATCACAATCAATTAATTAAAATACATTCTAAAATCAATTCATTCTAAAATCAATTCTTCGAAAGTCAGGCAGTCAGGAAGGAGCGGAAGAGTAGAAGAGCAGTTCCCGCCCCCTCCTTTTTCAAATCATCAGATCAGGAGATTCTTGCAATGGGAGGGGGTGAAAATATCAACACACCCTCCGCGCCACACACCCCTCGGGAGTGCGCCCGCCCTGGGCAGTGCGGGCATATGTTCTGCTGCTACCGGGATGTAAGGGTTCAGGTGAGCCCCGGGGTAACCTGGACCTAAGTTGTTCAGGGCTTTGTAAATGAATACAAGAGCCTTGAACCTGGCTCAGTAGGTAGTGGGCATGTTCTTGCACCCGTGGCCCTGCCGTCTCCTGTGTTGTCCTTCAAATCCCTCTTCAGAATAAACGGCCTCAGTCCAGTATACCTGCAGGAGTGTCTCCACCCCCATCGCTCTGCCCGGACGCTGAGGTCCAGCGCCGAGGGCCTTCTGGCGGTTCCCTCATTGCGAAAAGCAAAGCTACAGGGAACCAGGCAGAGGGCCTTCTCGGTAGTGGCGCCCACCCTGTGGAACGCCCTTCCAGCAGATGTCAAAGCGATAAACAACTACCTGACATTCAGAAGACATCTTAAGGCAGGCCTGTTCAGGGAAGTTTTTAACGTGTGGTATTTTACTGTATTTTTGGTTTCTATGGAAGCCACCCAGAGTGGCTGGGGAGGCCCAGCCAGATGGGCGGGGTATAAATAATAAATAATAAATTATTATTATTATTATTATTATTATTATTATTATTATTACACGCAGAATCCACGGAAGCAATTGGCGACTTGGCTGGAGACAGGATAGACGAAGCAGGAACCAGGAACTTGTAGTTAGGTGTTTATTATATACAGTGGATTATTTACAGGAACAGAACACAGATCTTTTGCTAGCTCTCTCTGACACGACTCACAACTCCTACACTGACACACTGAACCACTGAACTACGAACTAACACATTCCAGTTCGTGGGCCATTAATTATCACTCCCTTGAAAGAGCTTGACCAATCAGGAAGCTGTCTTCATGTCTCTGTTATTTCTAGGCAGACTTATTCCTTCAGATTGCCTTCTGGCTGGCTGCCAAACCTTAATTGACTCTGTGTGAGTAGCTGCACATACACAGTTTCCCAACAGCCTCAATCAGAGCCAGGGCCTTTTCAACACTGGCTCCAGCCTGGTGGAACTCTCTGTCTCATGAGACCAGGGCCCTGTGGGATCTGATTTCTTTCCGCAGGGCCTGTAAGACAGAGTTGTTCTGCCTGGCCTTTGGCTTGGAATCAACTTGATCCCCTCCCCCTCTTTCTTTTTTCCTTTCTCCTGTGTTGGAACTCCTATTTGGGGACTTCCCTGGCTTTTTTCTGGCCCACGTAGGATCAGTCTGGATAGTCAGCCTTGGTGAAGACTTGATGTTTTTATCCCCCAAAAAGTTTTTGATTGAGTTTCCACTGAAATGAAGTTGCATTTTAATGTTTTAATGTTGTATTTTAATCTTGTTTTTTAAGTTGTATTTCAATCAATTGATTTTATATTTGGTGTTAGCCGCCCTGAGCCCGGTCTTGGCTGGGGAGGGCGGGGTATAAATAAATTTTATTATTATTATTATTATTATTATTATTATTATCAAGCATGAACCTCTGTGGGGAGGCAATCCCACAGGACTGGTGAGAATGACACAAAAACCTACCAGGTTGGAGTTTTCTTCCACTTCTGGTGGTCCAGAGTCAGAGGACGGGCAAGGACAGTTCCTTCTCTTGACCATTCCACTCTCCCCGGTTCCTTTTTGCAGGTTTTTGAGAGCTGACACCATGAGGATCCTCCTTTGGAACATCTTGTCATTCTGCCTGCTTGCTTACGCCCTCAGCGACTGCCGGAGAGATTGTCTGAACTGCCACAGACATTTGTACAGCCACCAGCAAGATGACTTCAGCCTTCTGGTGAGTAGTCCAAGCAGCGGCGGGCTTGGGTCATATGGCACACAGTGCAAGGCAAACCTACCTGATCCATCATTTGTGAACCAATGCGCATCCTTTGAAATTTGCACTTCTCTGAATTTTGCAATGAGTTTCTCCAGCCAAGTAGTGTGTACAGAAGTGCAATAAAGAACAAATTAGGGGAGATTGCTTTGCAAAAACGCGTATATTAGGCAGTATTGCATGCATTTGCACTGAAGTGCTGGTGAATTTTTAGTAAAGGTACAGTGGTACCTCGGGTTAAGTACTTAATTCGTTCCAGAGGTCTGTTCTTAACCTGAAACTGTTCTTAACCTGAAGCACCACTTTAGCTAATGGGGCCTCCTGCTGCTGCGTGCTGGAGCACGATTTCTGTTCTCATCCTGAAACAAAGTTCTTAACCTGAAGCACTATTTCTGGGTTAGCAGAGTCTGTAACCTGAAGAGCATGTAACCTGAAGCATATGTAACCCAAGGTACCACTGTAAAGGTAAAGGGACCCCTGACCATTGGGTCCAGTCATGGCTGATTCTGGGGTTGCGGCGCTCATCTCGCTTTACTGGCCGAGGGAGCCGGCGTACAGCTTCCAGATCATGTGGCCAGCATGACTAAGCCGCTTCTGGCGAACCAGAGCAGCGCACGGAAACGCCGTTTACCTTCCTACCAGAGCGGTACCTATTTATCTACTTGCACTTTAACGTGCTTTCGAACTACTAGGTTGGCAGGAGCAGGGACCGAGCAACGGGAGCTCACCCCATCGCGGGGATTCGAACCACCGACCTTCTGATCGGCAAGTCCTAGGCTCTGTGGTTTAACCCACAGTGCCACCCGCGTCCCTGTGCCACCCTCACAACATCATGTGGAAATGTGGAGAACTGAACATAAGATTGGGGGGGGGGGAGGACCAAAACTGACAGATTCACCTGCCCCTATCCTCAACACAGGCCACCTGAGGCCCCTGCATCACTCTGCCCAATGCTAGGGCCAGCCTGTTCTTGATATGCCAGATTTTGGGCCGCCTTCCAAGCTCCAGTCCTGGCAGCTCAAACACCAAGGAAGAGGTAAATACCGTTCTCATCTCCACGCTTTTCCTCCCTCCTTGGCTGATCAACAGTGACACTTTTTGCAATGGGCTTTTTCTCCTTCCCTCTCCCTCTCCCGCATCTGGCGCTTGCTCCTTCCCATTTGATGAGAATTTATGTCCCAGCCATTCCCTGCCCTGGCTCCATTTCTCACTGAGTGGGGCCCTAAAGAAAGATCGTCGCCAAGGCATCCTTCTGCATTCATCTAGGTCACCATCTGAGCCCACCTTGGAAGCATGTTGCAGTCCGGCCGATTCGCACCTGCCTGCGCAATAAACTTATTTTAGGATAACTCCCCCCCCCAAACTCCTGTGAAGCATCTCTGAAACAGAAAGTGAATCTAGAAGAGGTCTTTGCCCATCTGGTCCCTTCCAGATATCCTGGTGCCATGTGGTCCTGTGCCCCAGACCAGCCCTTGGGGGCTGGACTAGATGACTCTAGAGGACCCTTCCAATTCTACAATTCTCTGATTCTGTACAGAAGTCCTTTCTTCTACTGTATCTGTCATGAATCATCCAATATTCTGCTTCATCAAATGTTCACGACTTCCAGTGTTATGAGAAAGGGAGAAAAAAAATATCCACTTTCTCAATGTCATGCATGATTTTATAAATACCTATGATGTAAATTAGGGATGTGGGTGGCGCTGTGGTCTAAACCACAGAGCCTAGGACTTGCTGATCAGAAGGTCAGCGGTTCGAATCCCCGTGACGGGGTGAGCTCCCGTTGCTCGGTCCCTGCTCCTGCCAACCTAGCAGTTCGAAAGCACGTCAAAGTGCAAGTAGATAAATAGGTACCACTCTGGTGGGAAGGTAAATGGCATTTCCGTGCGCTGCTCTGGTTCGCCAGAAGCGGCTTAGCCATGCTGGCCACATGACCTGGAAGCTGTAAGCCGGCTCCCTCGGCCAGTAAAGCAAGATGAGCCGGCCACTACTGGACCTAATGTTCAGGGGTCCCTTTACATTTTTATGATGTAAATTAAAAAGTCCCAAATGCTGCAATCTTTTATTGCCCCGTAGAGGAGTCCCTCCATCTCCTTGATCATTCTGGTTGCCAAACGACCAAAGACGGCTTCTCTGAAATTAAGGCACGGACAGGATCCTTCGCCTCAAAATTATAGCAAGTTCAATGCACTCTTATGCCCTTGACCTTGGAGGGCTTCCTTTCCACAGCTGATACTGTCATGGCCGGACGGTTTGTGGATTGGAATGAATGAATGAATGAAAGCAACCATGCCTGAATGAATGAATTAGCAAACCAAGGAGCGAAGCCAGCTTCAGCTGTCTGGGCTGGACTCCGCATGGTGCTGGCAAACCATCTCCTGCCCATTAAGAAAATGCAGTGGACAGGTCATTAAGATTCATTTAGTCAGCTGCCTCATTTCAGGGAAATGCCAATTTCGCCACCAGCCACACACACACATGCAATGGGTGCAACCTTGAATCTCACTCCAAGGGCACTGCAGAAGACAGAGGTTCTCTGCTAGCGTGGTGCAGTGGTTAGAGCAGGGGTCAGCAAACTTTTTCAGCAGGGGGCCGGTCCACTGTCCCTCAGACCTTGGGGGGGGGGGCTGGACTATATTTTTTGGGGGGGGGGGAGGAGAGATGAACGACTTCCTATGCCCTACAAATAACCCAGAGGTGCATTTTAAATAAAAGCACACATTCTACTCATGTAAAAACACGCTGATTCCCAGACCGTCCGCAGGCCGGATTGATAAGGCAATTGGGCCGCATCTGGCCCCCAGGCCTTAGTTTGCCTACCCCTGCCCTGGGAGCTTCCCCCTGCATTAATTTGCCTGGTCAGTGAGCTCACAGCACGCTGGCTCCCCACACAGTTCAGCCCCCACATGAGATCAGCCGTCACCAGCAATGTCTCTTGAAACTGTAGAGTCAGGCCACGTGGTGGAGCTGAACAAATATCTCAGCTCAGTTCATAGCTGTCAAGTGTCCCTTATTTGGCGGGACAGTCCCTTATCCCAGCGCCATGTCCCGCTGCTGTCCCTTATTGATGATGTCCCTTAAATAAGCTACTGAATGTAATGGGGCCCTTTCTATGTCCAGCTGTCCTTTGTCAACAACAAATTGTTGCTTTTTTTTGTGTTGAATATATGCTATATGGTAATTTATGGTCCTAATACGTATCTAAAGCCATTTGCACGCAACAAAATATGTATTTTATCAAAGTAATTGTTGATCCCTTATTTTGGCTGCTGAACCCTTATTTTGGCTGCTGATCCCTTATTTTCGAGGCTGCTGGTCCCTTATTTTCAAATCTGTAAGTTGACAGCTATGGCTCAGTTTGCCAAAGCAAGAGCAATTTCAAAAGGCCTCCCTTCTGTGTGAAGAAGCCATTCGGGACAAAAAAATGTAGAACTCTCTGCTCAGAAGACCCAGGAAACTTCAGAACTTATAATTAGTCCAAGTTCCCCACTTTGCTCTTCCTTGAGTCAGGCTGTGCAGAATAAATAGACAGCTAAACTTTTGCAGGGCAGCGTTTTAAAAAAATACAGACAAGCCGCCACACACACACACACACACACACACACACACACACACACAGAGTGTGGGTAGAGTTAAATGCAAGCAGTTCACCTGCTAATGAAAGGTGGGGGTGGAGAAGGAAAGCCTTTGGAAATAGTAGCCTGATTGCAGAAGTAAGCGGTTTAGCAACCTGAGCGTGAAAAGAGAGTTGGGTTCTTCGCTCTTGGCACTCAAAGACCCCTTGCTGTGAATTCAATTCCTTTCCAGCAAAGGGGGGAAAGGAAGTTACTGTCTTATAATTGACTTCTGATGGAAGTCAGTGATCCCTCTAAGAACCTGTTTGCAATCAATTAGTTATGGGGTGAGAAGAGATGAACAGAGAAAGTTTGGGGTCTGGGGGGAAAAATATCTCCTGGCTAAGGTAAAGGTAAAGGGACCCCTGACCTTTAGGTCCAGTCGTGACCGACTCTGGGGTTGTGGTGCTCATCTCGCTTTACTGGCTGAGGGAGCCGGCGTACAGCTTCCGGGTGATGTGGCCAGCAGGACTAAGCCGCTTCTGGCGAACCAGAGCAGCGCATGGAAACGCCGTTTACCTTCCCACCGGAGTGGTACCTATTTATCTACTTGCACTTTGACGTGCTTTCGAACTGCTAGGTTGGGAGGAGCAGGGACCGAGCAATGGAAGCTCACCCCGTCACGGGGATTCGAACCGCCAGCCTTCTGATCAGCAAGTCCTAGGCTCTGTGGTTTAACCCACAGCGCCACCCACGTCATCTCCTGGCTACCTGCTAATATATGCAAGCCTGGGACCTTCTCAAAGCGAGGTGTCGCCACTTGGCTGAATGCCACCAATTCAACCTTGTCACCCCATGCTACCTGGAGCCAGTCTTTGCATTAAACCCCCGGGCCTCAATCTCCACACCCTTGCTGGGAAGCCTGTCTCTGGAGGTCCCAAGCACTCGTGTGAATGATGGGAGCGAGGGAAGAGAAACTGTTTGTTTGTTTGTATCAGAAGCTTTCAAGGTTTCAGAGAAGTGGTGTCTCTAGGAAGGCACTCTGTGAAACCAGCAATCAATCACATAAGGCAAGAGGAATTAACGCTTTATTAGAAAAAAAACAGGATCTGCACAGGAGTGCCATACCTGATGAGCACAGCAACTCATCGCTGGTAGGTCTGTCCCCAGTGATGGATTTACGTATAAGCTAAACAAACTATAGCTTAGGGCCCCACTCTCTTGGGGCCCCAAAAAAAATTTAAAGGAAAGAAAAACCCTGGGTGTACAGTTCCAAAATATAAGATAAAAAAACAAATAAAATAAAACCTACATGCAGCAACAGTGTTTTGTGTTGTGTAGGCTCCTAGGATGTTTAGCCTGGGCATGTTTAGCCTGGAGAAGAGGAGGTTAAGGGGTGATATGATAGCCATGTTCAAATATATAAAAGGATGTCACATAGAGGAGGGAGAAAGGTTGTTTTCTGCTGCTCCAGAGAAGCGGACACGGAGCAATGGATCCAAACTACAAGAAAGAAGATTCCACCTAAACATTAGGAAGAACTTCCTGACAGTAAGAGCTGTTCGACAGTGGAATTTGCTGCCAAGGAGTGTGGCGGAGTCTCCTTCTTTGGAGGTCTTTAAGCAAAGGCTTGACAACCATATGTCAGGAGTGCTCTGATGGTGTTTCCTGCTTGGCAGGGGGTTGGACTCGATGGCCCTTGTGGTCTCTTCCAACTCTATGATTCTATGATTCTATGATTCTAGGATGTAAGTCATGGGCTCTGTCTGCTAGCCTGCTCCCTAAAATATCACTGGTTTGCTCCTTTCTATATATAGGGTGCCTACATTCTGTATGGACGGTTTGCATGGCAACAGGTAGCACGCAGCTGCAGACTGCGGGGCAGCACAGTTGAATGTAGGTCAAGCTGTTGTGCCTGTTATCTAATATTAAGGAGTGCTTGTAGACTGATGATCAGGCAGCATAGGCCAAGGGTATCAACACAAAACCAGCGGCAATTTGTTGTTGACAGCTGGACATATAAAGGCCCCATAACCTTCAGCAGCTTAGGGCCTCATCAAACCTAAATCTGGCCCTGTCTGGCCCCCATGAAGCAGTTGCAGAGAATGAAGGTCCCCGCCTCCCCACAGCTGCCTAAGTCCCCTCCTCTCCAGGGTTTTCCCCAAGCAATCAGAGACTATGCCTGTGTGAAGCTAACTTCTCCACCCTCTTTGTGCCTCTCTTGGTTCTGGCAAACCAGGGAGGAGGGGAACAGAGGCGGGCGAGGGCGGCGAGCTGATGCTGGGAGGCGCCGCGTCCAGCCTCCACCTCTTCCCTGGCACCCTCCATAACGTGGCACCCTGGCACCCCGCACCACAAGCCTCTATGGATAAGACGGCCCTGCCCACAGGAGTAAGAACCTCGAGCATGGGGTGACACCAACTTTTAAAACTTCCCTCTTTCCCCCAGAATACACTTCGAGCAGCTTCACTGATACATCATCACTGCATCATTGGTATGTCACAAATGGGGAGGGGTATACAAGGGTTTGGGACGCGGGTGGCGCTGTGGGTTAAACCACAGAGCCTAGGGCTTGCCAATCAGAAGGTCGGCAGTTTGAATCCCCATGACAGGGTGAGCTCCCGTTGCTCGGTCCCTGCTCCTGCCAACCTAGCAGTTTGAAAGCATGTCAAAGTGCAAGTAGATAAATAGGTACCACTCCAGCGGGAAGGTAAACGGCATTTCCGTGCGCTGCTCTGGTTTGCCAGAAGTGGCTTAGTCATGCTGGCCACATGACCCAGAAGCTGTACGCTGGCTCCCTCAGCCAATAAAGCGAGATGAGCGCACAACCCCAGAGTCGGCCACGACTGGACTTAATGGTCAGGTGTTCCTTTACCTTTACCTTTAACAACTTTAAAGATGTGCCCCCCCTTTTATTTCCGTAACAGTGCTTACAGTCTTCTTAAGTTTACAAAGAGAGAGATTCATTTTAAAATAGCCTGCAGCTATTTTAATAATGGCCCTTTCCTAGCTTTCCTCCTTCAAAGAGAAAGATGATTAACGTCACCGCCGGTGCAATACTCCTGAAACTAAAAGTGTGAACACGCTCCTCCTGAAATTGTTTCTTCCTTCCTCCTTTCTTGCAGATCTGCGTCATGGAGTGCGAGGGGAAGCTGCTCTCCAGCGCCACCTGGGGGCTGTGCAGCAAAGCCACTGGAGTCAAGGCTCCTTTGCCCCTTGACCTTGACAGCCCGGAAGACGACGCCAGCCGGCCCTTGGAGATGTGGGACGGCGGCCTGCGGCCAAGCAGGGGCGGCCTGAAACGCCTCGGCAGCCTGGCCCGGGAGGCGGACCTCGACAAGGCCGGGGGCGAGAAGGGGGTGTCCAAGACGAGCGGCCTCTTCCGGCAAGCGGAAGGTGGAGATGACGACAGGGTCCAAGCTCTTCTGGGGGACTTGCCGGCCCAGCTCGACATACCGAAAGGGGTGAGCAGCTTCCTGGGCGGGCCGTTCGGTTACGAGCCGGTAGGGGAGGCCGGAGTCCAGGAGCTCCAGAAGCGGTTTGGGGGCTTCATTGGGGTCCGGAAATCGGCCCGGAAGTGGCACAACCAGAAGCGGTTTAGCGAGTTCCTGAAGCAGTACTTGGGGATGTCTCCGCGATCCGTCGAGTACGATGGCCTAGCCGACGACCCGAAAGAGCAGAACGAGATCTAGGCAGGCGGACGGACTCCCTCCCCCTTCGCGGCGTTCCCGTTTTTTTTCTTCGTACCGCCAACTTCTAGTGAATTGGTTCAGGTCTGCCGAAGCCTAAGGAGTCAACCCCGTAGCTTCCGATTTAGTCCCTTTCCATTCTCGTTCTGTTTATCGTCGTTCCCACGTTTGCCGTCCCAGACCGGGAGTGGAGGCGGCTTGCAAATGAAAATACGCAGCACAGATAAATTGCGAAGAGGTAAAAAGATATGAGAAATAAGCAGTTGAGCTCTAACAGAATTAAAAGACTATGGAAAGATAAGGTGAAGATGATGGAAACAGCCAAGTGCTATTAGAAGCCCTTCTCTCGAACAAACAATTCCCAAAGGCCTGTTGGAATGAAACGGTCTTCACCTGCAGGTGGAAGAGCAGGGAGAAGGGAGCCTGTCTTGCATCACTAGGGAGGGAGTTCTAAAGTTGCCCAGGAGGAGGAGCCACCACCGAGAAGGCCCTGTCCCACGTCCCCACAAAGCACGCCAGTGAGGGTGGCAGGACCGAGAAAAGAGCTTCCCCTGAAGATCTCAGAGACTGGGCAGGTTCATATGTGGGAATATGGTCTGTCAGGTTGCCTGGACCTAAGCCATGTAGGGCTTTATATTGATTGATTGATTGATTGATTGATTGATTGTACTCCAGATGTTTTTGGTCTATGAGTCCCATCACCCCCAGCCAGCACTGTTAGAGGTGACCCACGACACCCCTTCCACATCTGTAAGCAAGCTATATTTTAGTGTGCTGGCACCTACACCTTTGGAACTCCCTGCCAATTGAGATCAAGCAGGCGCCTTCAAAGTACTCTTTTCAGTATCTGCTAAAAACATTTTTGTTGAGCCAAGCCTGCCAGGTATCTAAAATGCTGTTGTTTGAAGAAGAAGAAAAATTATTGCTGGTTTTAATTTTTTTAATGTTTTAATTGTTTTCCCCTTTAAAAGAAATAGGTGTTTGTTCTTTTTTGTAAACTGCTTTCGGTTTTATTTCGTTTTTACAATCAAGCGGTATATAATTTTTATGTAATTAATTAATTAATTAATTAAAACATCGGGGTGGGGGGCCACCAGGTTTAGGAAGGCGATTGTGATTGTGTAGACAAGTTATTGACTTTCTGGCTTGCAACTTTGATATTTGTTCTATTTTAGCACCAGAATTTAATTGGGACCGAGTCAAAATCCTGTTCCCAAAACGAGGTTGACATCTTTGGATTGGCAGTACTGTGGTGTTTGTGGATATTTTGTTCCCCGTTCCTCATCCCTCTCCGTCTTTCTCTCTCCCCCTATGGCATGCATTTTGTCAAAGCCGCTCTCTATGGGCTGTCACTTTCAAAGGTGTATTTTTGTAATTACAGGGGTGAGGAGCCAATGAGACTCCCGTTGCCCCCTTCCTCTGTCCTGCCTGGTAACAATCGTCTCCGGAAAAGACCGCATGACCGAAAATTAGCAATGTAGCGAGAGCTGGGCGCACCTTCTTCTGTTAACCATTGAATGTTCAAAAACAGGGGAAATGAGACGCGGAACCCTGTTCTTTTTAATTGTTGCAGACGCCAAGATTCCTCCATTAAACTTGTACATAGCAAAAAGAAAAAAAGAGAAAAGATTAATAAATTACTTTTCTATTTCTACTGTAGCGTTGTGGTCAGCACACCGTCAATGAGCATGGCGCTAATGTGCTACCGGAGCGTATTCTCCACCCACACCCCTGTCTCTGCCCTGGCCACACCACTCGCTCAAGTCCCGGACGGAGATATGAGTCACAGGCCTCCTTCCTTGCAGACCTGGCGCTCGCCCGTGGCTAACTCGAACTCGCTCCCCAACTTTCCTGAGCGGCAGGGGATTTCAAAGAAACTTTTAGGATCGCTTTCCATGCATGGGGGGATTTAACAGATTGTTTTTGCAGCACCTTTGTATTTTCACACTAAATTCGGAACGAGTGAGGGGTGTCAGAAAGGCCAAAATCAAAGATGGTAAAATGTGTGTGCCAAAAACATTTGAAAAGAAAAAGAACATGCACAGGTATTTATACAATAATGTCAGGTGCCTCTGAGCTAAGGTGGGCAAACTGGAGTACTTAAAGATGGGCATAGACCAGGGGTCAGCAAACCTTTTCAGCAGGGGGCCGGTCCAATGTCCCTCAGACCATGTGGTGGGCCAGACTATATTTTTGGGGGGAGAAATGAACAAATTCCTATGCCCCACAAATAACCCAGAGATGCATTTTAAATAAAAGGGCACATTCTACTCATGTAAAATCACGCTGATTCCCGGACCTTCCGCAGGACGAATTTAGAAGGCGATTGGGCCAGATCCAGCCCCCGTCCCTTAGTTTGCCTACCCATGCCCTAAGCCAAGGGTCAACAAACTTTTTCAGCAAAGGGCCGGTCCACTATCCCTCAGACCACGTGGTGGGCCAGACTATATTTTTGGGGGGAGAAATGAACAAATTCCTATGCCCCACAAATAACCCAGAGATGCATTTAAAATAAAAGGGCACATTTTACTCATGTAAAAACACGCTGATTCCCGGACCGCCTGCAGGCCGGATTGAGAAGGCGATTGGGCCGCATCCAGCCCCCGGACCTTAGTTTGCCTACCCATGGCATAGACAAACCCTAGCAGAGTGGAAAGAGCCAGTGGGACACAATTATCTCTGTCCCAATCTCTAAGAGCTCCCAGGGGCTCCAGAAATTGCCCACAGTTCAGCTACCTAGGAATGAAGCTCAGCGGAGACTGCAGTGTCTTTAGGATATATGGTTTACATTTACAAATATGTACAACCTGAGCTGGGACGCGGGTGGCGCTGTGGGTTAAACCACAGAGCCTAGGACTTGCTGATCAGAAGGTCGGCGGTTCGAATCCCTGCGACGGGGTGAGCTCCCGTTGCTCGGTCCCTGCTCCTGCCCACCTAGCAGTTTGAAAGCACATCAAAGTGCAAGTAGATAAATAGGTACCACTCCAACGGGAAGGTAAATGGCGTTTCCGTGCACTGCTGTGGTTCGCCAGAAGCGGCTTAGTCATGCTGGCCACATGACCTGGAAGCTGTACGCCAGCTCCCTCGGTCAATAAAGCGAGATGAGCGCCGCAACCCCAGAGTCGGCCACGACTGGACCTAATGGTCAGGGGTCCCTTTACCTTTACAACCTCAGCCTAAGATGGGGGAGCTCCAAGCAATGACACCCCAACAGATCTTGCTTCTCCATTAGCCACAGCTTTGGACTCAGCACAGAGCAAGCAGGTCTCTGTGTCTCCCGCTTCCAGTCTGCTTTCACTTAGCTCACACCCCAAAACTCTGGCTCGTCTCCTCGTACCTGGCAGCTAGGTGAGGTGGGAGAGACCTATCCATTTGTTTTGCGGCACAAAGCAACTTTATTGGGTATGCTAATCGTGGTGCTCAACAAGTTAGGCAAAACCATTACCTAGACAAAGGGACTGGTTCTACCTCAACAGATACAGGATCACAAGAACTGGAAGGGCCAGGGCATACTGGGCCCCAAGAGTAATTTAGTACAGTGGTACCTCAGGTTACATACGCTTCAGGTTACAGACTCCGCTAACCCAGAAATAGTGCTTCAGATTAAGAACTTTGCTTCAGGGTGAGAACAGAAATCGTGCTCCGGCAGCACGGCAGCAGCAGGAGACTCCATTAGCTAAAGTGGTGCTTCAGGTTAAGAACAGTTTCAGGTTACGAACAGACCTCCAGAACAAATTAAGTACTTAACCCAAGGTACCACTGTAGTGGCAAAGTACTGGTGTCCCCCAGACCAAAATGTTACCCCAAATATCCTTCAGTTGAGCCTCTTCACCGAAAACTAGAAAGTGGCCAATGTTAACGCCAATTTTTAAAATCCTGGAAATTAGAGGCTGGGAATCTGGATCCTAGAAATTAGAAGCTGGTTAGGGATCCTGGAAATCAGAGGCTGATTAGGTTAACTTCTCTGTTCTGGGAAAACTGGTGGAAGACAGTGTTGGGATACTGCCAGGGAGACAAAGTCCATCATGACTCCACGTTGCCTCCGGACGTCCATCGATCTCCCATAGATACAGTATCAGCAATTAGCGACACGAGCTCCAGAAATAGCTTGCCACATTCCAGAGCTGATGCACGCTCTATCAGCAGATAATGCACAGTGAAAGATGCACTCAGGAGAGCATTATTTACAAGTTTATTCAGCGTTGGTCAGAACAAAGATAAACATGACTGCCTGCGTTGATGTCTCAGACACACAGAGAGAAAACGAAAGCAATAGACAAAACATAAACTTCCTGTGAACAGGAAATACGCAGACTCTGTGACTCACAAAGCCTGCTCCCTTTTAAGGTGGAACGGAAATATCCTAACAGACAGCGCTCACTAAGCATATGAAGAATAAGCCTTGTTGAAACAGAAGCAGCATGGCTTCCACAAGGATAAGTCGTAGCTGGCTAACTTTTTAGAGTGCTTTGAGAGTGTTCATAAACATATGGAAAGGAATGATCCAGGAAACATTAGGTGATATCCAATGCTAGTCATGCTCAGAGCAGGCCAATTGAAATCAGCAGATTTAAATAACTCAGCTATCAGCAAGTTTCCATTTCACTTTCATTTCACATTTGCACACCACCTTTCTATATTACAGCAACACACAGTTTGGGAAGTGGCGAGATTTACTGAAGTCCCAATAATTATTTAGGACGGGGATACCCAAGGTGCCCACAAACAGCCCAATGAGGACTAGAATGGTCAGTAGGCATGTAGTTAATTTAATTCTGGTGGGGGCGGGGAAAGAAAACAAAGAGTTGGGGGAGTGGAATGGAGTTTTCTGAAAAGGGGCAACCCACACTGCGGCATTTTGTTGCAGGCCGAGCTGCAGAGGTATAATGAAGAAGAGCGAGCCTTTCCTGCTGGTGACTTGTGGAAAGCGGTTGGCAGTTCACCACACCTCAATCTGTGTGATGTGTCAGCAGGCTATGCAGAGCCCCAGCTGAGTCACAGAGATTTCCTGATCCCAGCAGACAGCCTTTTCCAGAGTCCCTGTTTAGGGGGAAAACTCTCCCATGCAGTTCCAAGTAGGAAAGAGTTTATTGTCTCCAGGCACAAAGCTAAACATTACTATCTATACACAGTTCTTCTGGTCTTAGAAGTAAAGATATGTGCAGTGCCACCATCACCATGCTAGCTAACCCATAGCCTCTTCCCCTGACTCTCACAGATTCAGAATCAGACCCTGACAGCAAAAGAGGATGGGACACAACATAATGAAAGCAATGCCTAGAGACTATTATACCCATCTCTACACGTAGGCAGGTGCCACTGTGGTCCAAACCACTGAGCCTCTTGGGCTTGCCGATCGGAAGGCCGGCGGTTCGAATCCACTCGATGGGGTGAGCTCCCATTGTTCTGTCCCAGCTCCTGCCAACCTAGCAGTTCGAAAGCACACCAGTGCAAGTAGATAAATAGGTACCGCTGGGGCAGAAAGGTAAATGGCATTTCCATACACTCTAGTTTCTGTCACGGTGTCCCATTGCACCAGAAGTGGTTTAGTCCTCCTGGCCACATGACCCAGAAAGCTGTCTGTGGATAAACGCCGGCTCCCTCGACCTGAAAAGCGAGATGAGTGCCGCAACCCCACCGTTGCCTTTGACTGGACTTAACTGTCCAGGGGTCCTTTACCTTTACCTTACTTACATGTAGGCATATTTCCTGAACCAACGGGAGAGTGAATGACTTGGCCTTGATGGTGTTGCTATGGCAACCCTTATCTCAGAACATCCAGATGTGGAGGATGTGCTCCTCAAGACAGGATCCCAAGCACTGTGTAATTTTAACCCATTGTTCGCCTTGTATCAACGTTTTCCCCATCACTGAGTAACACCAGTTAGGTCCTCAAAGATCTGTGAGGCACCAGGGATGGGAACAGGAGAGACGTTCTCATGGTGACACATCATGTTGATTAGCCAGGACAGAGGTTGTACCACCCAACATGTAATGCAAGGAGTTCAAGATGGGGTACATGGTTCTGCTCCTTCCTGTGTCATCCTCACAACAGCCTTGTGAGGTGGGTTAGACTGAGGGGCAGTGGCTGGTCCAAGGTCACTCAACCAGTTTCACCACTGAGTGGGGATTCGAACCCTAGTCTCCCACATGCTAGTCCCACACGAGTCTAACCACTATGCCACATGGACTCTCCACAATCAGCTCTCCTTATCTTTTGGTCCTGGAAGAGTAGCTGCCTCTGTTCATGATTTCACACACCTCTCCCAATTACATAAGACAGGAGAAGCACAAAATAAATTGAAGGAACCCATCTGGGGGTTAGGGGGGGAATTGACAGTTCCATCAGCAACGGAGCGCTCATCTCAGACGTTTATTAGAAGTTCTCTCCTGCAGGCTGACATTGTGGGATAATAACAAGACGAGTTAATCATCCTCAATTGAGGGTTTGTTGGAAGAAGGAAAGTCATATGATCTATCCAGTAATGTAGGAGTTAGTCTTCTCCAGAGAGAGGGAGAGAGGGAGGGAGGGAGGGAGAAACCTTTCCAGGAAGGAAAGAAGGAATCATAGAATTGGGAGTCTGAGGATCATCTTAGTCCAACTCTCTGCAATGCAGGAATATTCAGCTGTCCCATACAGGGATCAAACCTGCAGATTTGGCATTATCAGCACCATGGTCTAACCAACTGAGCTATCAAGAAAGGAAGGAAGGAAGGAAGGAAGGGAGGGAGGGAGGAAGGGAGGGAGGGAGGGAGGGAGGAAGGAAGGAAGGAAGGAAGGAAGGAAGGAAGGAAGGAAGGAAGGAGTGCAGCAATGCTTCTGAATATCAATTTCTGGTTTTTGGTTTTTTTTAATGCTTTTTATTGGTGTTTCATTTAATACAAACAAACAAAATACAGTAAAATTCAGCAATCATTTACCCACATTCTTTCCCCACACTCTGCTGACTTCCTTCTCTCCCTTCAACAGGTTTTCTCATGTCAGTTACTTTCCCACAGTTTCTTATTGTATCCAATCCTATCTACATCGTCAGATTTTTTTCAGTCCTGCCAGAGTCTTCAGATTTCTACAGTTATTATTTATGAACTCCATAAATTCAATCTTGTTGGAATTTTGCTTCCTCCTGATATCGGATTCGACAGGTCAGTTTTGCTAGTTCCGCCTAATCAACCATCTTCGTCTGCCACTCCTCTATTGTTGGTAATTCTGGTACTTTCCCTTTTGGGGCTGCCAAAGTTCTGGCAGCAGTCGTAGCATACATAAATAACCTTTGATCTGCCTTTTCTATTTCCTCTCCCAATTATTATTATTATTATTATTATTATTATTATTATTATTATTTATACCCCGCCCATCTGGCTGGGCTTCCCCAGCCACTCTGGGCGGCTTCCAACACAATATTAAAATACTGTGATACATCAAATATTAAAAGCTTCCCTAAACAGGGCTGCCTTCAGATGTCTTCTAAAAGTCTGGTAGTTGTTGTTCTCTTTGACATCTGGTGGGAGGGCGTTCCACATCAAGCCTAGTAAGGGATGCGGGTAGTACTGTGGGTTAAACCACAGAGCCTAGGACTTGCCGATCAGAAGGTCGGCAGTTCGAATCCCCACGACGGGGTGAGCCCCTCTTCCCCACCGGAGGAGCTGCCCTCCAGCTGCTGCCCCCCTCCTCCAGCCCCACCAGCAGCGCCATCCTCCCCAAAAGACTCTGGGAAACAGGGAGGGCGCGCCGGAGGGAGCTTTGCACCACGGCGCTGGATATGCTTAAGACAGCCCTGTGTCCTGCCCTCCTCGTTATCTTCTTGGAGACTAGGGAGAAAGGAGCTTGTTGCAGCTGTAAAGGGAGACTTCTGGGATTCTTCAGCATCCTCTTCACACACACACACACACAGTCAGGAGTTCAGCCTACACTTGAGTAGGACCCTGGCAGAGACACATGCCCAACTGGCATGTTCCCTCCCTCCTGGTCAATCGTTCGGGAGTTTCATAAGCTTTCTTCAGCCCGAACATCACAGCAACCGATGCCAACCGACAGCGGCACACTTAGGGATCCGCACAGTCTTCGCAGCTTGCATAATGGACCTCAGCAGCTCAGCATTTTGGCTAATCTACTTTATTTACATATAAACACACACGGAGCACTGCAACATGGCTCCCTCTCTCTCTAGCATCAGACAGCAAAGAGAAAAAGAACAAAGGACAATAGTCCCACTTCACGGAACACAGTAACACAAACATCCTGTCTCCGTCACTTCCCACTCTGTGGAGTCAAAACATACACCGTCATGTGAAAGAGAAAAGTCCCATGACTGCAATCATGGATCAGGAATTCTAACAACACACACCCATTTGCTTCAGTCTCAGAGTCTGAACTGCTCCCTGTCACCGACTCTCCCTGCCCACCAAACCCTGTTGCCCCTTCAGCATCCAGCACCTCCTCCCGGTCTTCTCCTCTGACCTCTCCTTGGCGTCCCACCACCAACCCCCTGGCTCTGAGCCTTCCTCCTCTGGGGGTTCCCTTGGGGGTTCCCTAACTGGTGCCTCCAACCAGCGCTCCCTGACAACTGCTACCCAGGGCAAGGGGAAAAGTCACATGAAGCCATGATGTGATGCAATCGTGGGATTGTGACATCACAATAGTGGTGCAGGAGGGGCTGGGGAGAAATGAAGCCCACCACCCCCTTGTCTTGGCTGGACGCAGTTCAGCTCGCCTGCTGCAGATCTAGGAAGAGCAGACCTTTCAAGGCATCCCAGTAACTTGGTCTTGTCCCTAACCGTGGAGCTGAAGAGAATTCTGGGGCCCTGGATTTAGTCCAAGCAGGGAGAGAATTTACATCCTCCAGGTATGCTGAGCCTTTTTGCTTGCCTTTGGGAAGCCCAAAGGAAACTTCGCTTTCCTGCGAAGTTTGTCCCATAGCAACTGGCATTCCGAAGTCCGCTGCGTCTGAACCAGTGGTTCCCAAACTTTTTTTGGCTGTGCCCCATCTCTAAAATCCTGATCCCCCCCCCCTCCGGTGACATATCATTCTTATTATTCAAAAAGTGAACTCCTATTCACATGGAGGAAGCCTAAGAGGCCATTAGTGTTTCTGCGTCCAGGGCAGCTGTTTACCAGCTCTATCTGGTACGCAGGCTGAGACCCTTCCTGCCCACAGACTGTCTTGTCAGAGTGGTTATCTTCCACTTGGACTACTGCAATGCACTCTACGTGGGGGCTACCTTTGAAGGTGACCCAGAAACTGCAACTAATCCAGAATGCGGCAGCCCTGTTTAGGGAAGCTTTTAATATTTGATGAATTATTGTATTTTAATATTTTGCTGGAAGCCACCCATAGTGGCTGGGGAAACCAGTATACTGGACTGAGGCCATTTAGGGCTTTAAAGGTCAGCACCAACACTTTGAATTGTGCTCGGAAACGTACTGGGAGCCAGTGTAGGTCTTTCAAGACCAGTGTTATGTGGTCTTGGCGGCCGCTCCGAGAAATGAAAATAAGTAGGAATCTCTGAACAAAGATGGTACCACTCTTGCATTTCAGTGGGGAAACTGTTTTTATATTTTATTTTCTTACTGCTTCTGCTTCTTCATTAAGAACGGAAAGTGCGGAATAGCAGCCTAGCAGATTGCAGCTACAACAAAGGCGGCATTTTTCCATCTCCGCCAAGCTAAGCAGTTGGCTCCTCACCTCTCTCGCCCTGGCTTAGCCACTGTGATCCACGCGATGGTCATTTCCAGACTGGATTATTGTAACTCGCTCTACGTGGGGCTGTCCTTGAGACTGACCCAGAAACTCCAGCGGGTGCAGAATGCTGCAGTGAGACTCCTTACGGGGTCTTCGCTGCGAGATCACATTCACCCGGTGCTATACCAGCTGCACTGGCTCCCGGTGGAGTACAGGATCAGGTTTAAGGTGCTGGTTTTAACCTTTGAAGCCCTATACAGCCTAGGACCCTCGTACCTACGGGAGCGCCTCTCCTGGTATGCCCCACAGAGAAACTTACAGTCTTCAAATAAAAACATCTTGAAGGTCCCAGGCCACAGAGAAGTTAGGCTGGCCTCAACTAGAGCCAGGGCTTTTTCGGCCGTGGCTCCGATCTGGTGGAACACTCTGTCACAAGAGACCAGGGCCCTGCGGGACTTGACATCTTTCCGCAGGGCCTGCAAGACAGAACTGTTCCTCCAGGCCTTTGGTCAGGGCACAGCCTGACTCCCTCCCTCGGCAATCTTCGCGGAGCTCTGGCCCAATGGTTGCCAGTGGCTTGAATTAATTAATTTTATAATGAATGATTTTAGAGTGTTGTTTGTGCTGTACTTTTGTACTGTTTTATTGTTGTTAGCCGCCCTGAGCCTGGCTTCGGCTGGGGAGGGCGGGATATAAATAAAATTATTATTATTATTATTATTATTATTATTATTATTATTATTACTAGCTGCTTTGCAGAGGTGGATGGGAAAAGGCACAGTCCCTGGAGGGGAAGTGGAAGATGTGTTGCAGGTAGAGATGTTAAGAAGGCTTCATTTTCTGTTCTGCCCTATATTTGACACACGCATCACTGTTTCCATTCCACTGCAAGTCATTTTCAACCAAAAACTACATTATTAATATTGTTCTCTGTTGCGGTTAATTTCTATAACTTATGTAATTAATGAGACAAATTATGTAAACCAGGTTGTCATTACGTTAGTCCCCCTCACTCAATGCAAATGAGGGGGACATGTAATCAAGTACTTATTATTTGGGGACTGAAAGTAGCAGTGACATCAAATAAAGTTCGCATTAATTGGCTGGGTTTCCATTTTGGACGTGGGGCAAATAAGTGAAGATTGGCAATTTCCGTTCCCATCAGAATTCTCCAACATCCCTGTTTGGGGCAAACCTTTTTTCTCCCTTGCTTGTTTCCCGTTTCAAACTATTTCACATCCTGCCCCACAAGTCCTTTCCCTTGATCTGTTGGCTCTCAGCCATAATTAATTGCTTTCTAGAGTGAGGTTTCCACACCTCACACACTTCAATTAGCTACTTAATTAGCAGACTGATCTGCAAACAGCCAGCACTTACTTCCAAGTGCAGCTGAGTAGTTTCTGACTGTAATCCTGTAAGGTTGCAGTTTTGTGGGTCTTCCTTCTCAGCGAGCACACAGAAGTTCCAGCTGCAATTCTCTAATCCAGTGGTTCCCAATTAGGAGTTCGGGAACCCCAGGGGATCTGCAGAACACACCCAGGGGATCTGCGGCCCCATCCCTTGCCTTCCCCCCTCCCACAACTAAATTTTTGTCATTTTCGCATAGTGAGATCACAAACCCACTTTATTTATTGTTTGAAACAAGCATTCATATGCCACCGGCTCACACAACATATGATATAGACAGCCAAACACAGAACATCAGAAAAGTAAATTCAAAATAAGCATCGCTTCTTTTGCTCAAAAAGAATGTGGATCTGTTTTAGCACTGTGCGGTTTTTCACTATACAGGGGTACCTCTGGTTGCAAACGGGATCCGTTCCGGAGACCCGTTCTCAACATGAAAAGCCCACAACCTGAAGCACCGTATCTGCACAGGTGTGCAGCACAATTTGGTGCTTGTGCGCATGTGCGCATGCGTGAAGGGCGATTTAGCGCTTCTGTGCATGCGCGAACGGCGAAACCTGGAAGTAACCCTTTCCGGGTCTCCACGGGACGCAACCTGAAAAAACATAACATGAAGCAAACGTAACATGAGATATGACTGTATTGGCCAAAGTCAGTTTAGAAATCACACTGTGATAACGATTTTGACCCAGCAAGATGCAGAAATATATGGCTCCTCGCGTGAGGGAGAACAAGGCAACCGATTTCAAGGGACCTCCGATATCGCACGATGATCTCAGCCCCAGGGCAGCCGATTGCGAGGCTCTGCCTTCCCCTCATGCTGACAGAGAACATGGCAGCTGGTCACCCTCACTTCCAAGGCCCCATGGCCAGAGGCAAAGCAACCTGCTCCGGTACCCAGAGCAGCGCTCATCCCAGGGGGAGTGGCATGTATCCCACATGGCATGGCATGCTGCCCAGGGGGGTGTGGTGTGCGTTCCGGGGCGTGGCACACGTTCCAGGGGCGTGGCACGCATTCCAGGGGCGTGGCATGCATTCCAGGGGCGTGGCATGCATTCCATTATTGGAATAATGCATATGCATTAATATTAATAATAATAATAATAATAATAATAATAATCAACCCTTTGCCACCCCTTGAAAATTAAGCGAGGAAAGCGACAAAACAGAGACATTCCTTAGGAGTATGCAAGAAATGAGCTGCCATAGTCAAGTCACATCCACCGGCGCAACTGGCATATATAGTTAAGGACTGAGTCCTAAGTGTTGGCATTGTGGTCAAGAGTTAGGGGTATATGCACATATGTGGTGGGAGTGTATTTGTGTAAAGGAACATTGGCAAAAGATTATAAAGGTTATTTCTGATGTACGGTATTTCAGGTTAAGATAGAAGTCCATAGAGAAATGCTTATCTCAGGAATACTGGGAAACAGTAAAATAGAAAGAAAAGAGCAAGATTGGTATAAAATTATGATCTTGGCTGGTATGTTTGTTATTGCATTAGGATGTAAAGAAAAGGACAAATGGACAATTGAAAAATGGAATGACTATGTTTTTGAACATATACAATCTGATATATTTGAACAGGTAATGACGGAAGATACATGGGAAAACAAATGTCAAAATATTTTGAATAAATGGACAAGTTATAGGAATTAGATAGCACGGGGGAAGCCAACCCAAGCACCCAAATTAGAATGAATAATCTGTGCACATGGTTAAAGATTTGAAGAGAGAACAAGTTTTGGGGGGAGAGGTTAAAGGGGAGGGAGGAAGGGAAGCGAAAAAAATTAGGATAAATGAGAAGGGACAAAAATATATACTGTTATGTATAACTAATAGGATGATTTTGATGCATGTTATTGTTTGATTTTTTGGAAAGTTATTCAACATCCCTGGATGAAAGTGGGGGAAAAACAAAACAAAAAAATTAACAAACAAACAAACATTCAGGTCAGCACAGGAAACCCCCAAAATTCCAACACTTCTGACTCTCTATTGTGCAGATGTCAATTTTGTCCAGGATACCAGGCTTTCAAAGGGGAGAAAACAGCCAGCCGAGGTCGCCTACGTCAGACAGAGAAGATCATAAGGGGAGAAAGGCCTATCTCCAAGGCCACGCAGGTGAGTCAAGGTGCTCTGTACCTAAGAACATGCACAGGTAAGAAGAGGTTGCTGGATCATGCCAATGGCCCATCTAGTCCAGCATGCTCTTCTCACAAGGGCTGACTGGATGCCTGTGGTAAATCTCCAAGCAGGATCAGAGCACAAATGCAACTGGGATTCAGAAGGATTGCTTCCTACATCCTTGGATGAATCATAGAATCATAGAGTTGGAAGAGACCACAAGGGCCATCGAGTCCAACCCCCTGCCAAGCAGGAAACACCATCAGAGCACTCCTGACATATGGTTGTCAAGCCTCTGCTTAAAGACCTCCAAAGAAGGAGACTCCACCACACTCCTTGGCAGCAAATTCCACTGTCGAACACCTCTTACTGTCAGGAAGTTCTTCCTAATGTTTAGGTGGAATCTTCTTTCTTGTAGTTTACATCCATTGCTCCGTGTCCGCTTCTCTGGAGCAGCAGAAAACAACCTTTCTCCCTCCTCTATGTGACATCCTTTTATATATTTGAACATGGCTATCATATCACCCCTTAACCTCCTCTTCTCCAGGCTAAACATGCCCAGCTCCATGAAGGACAGCATCTTTTTCTTTGGAGATCCCTCATAGCCGAGTAAGATTGTCTTCCATGAACATGGTCTTAACACTGAGTCCGTAAGTGACTGTGGAGGCCAATTCTGGATCCACATGTCCTTCCACAGTGGAGACATAGGTTTCCAGGTGGGAGTTGATCACGGTGAGGGTTTGCCAAGCGTCCCTTCCTCTTAGCACGTTTCTCCCTTGCGTCCTGAGTTCAAGTGTCTTCAAAGCCCATGACACCTTTGGTAAAGGCTGTTCTCCAACTGGAGCGCTCGCAGGCAAGTGGTTCCCAATTGTCGGTGTTTAGTAGTAGCCACTGATAGCTACATCCTCATGAATTCGTCCAACCCTCTTTTGTAGGCATCCACATTGGTCCCATTGCTGCCACTTGTGGCAGTGAGTTCCACAGTTTAACTTCTTCTTTTTTGGCGATCACTCATAGCTGAGTAAGATTGTCTTTCATGAACACGGTCTTAACAGTGAGTCCGTAAGTAACTGTGGAGGCCAATTCTGGATTCACACGTCCTTCCACAGTGGGGACATTGGTTTCTGGGTGGGAGTTGATCACAGTGAGGGTTTGCCAAGCGTGCCTTCCTCCTAGCACATTTCTCCCTTGTGTCCTGAGTTCGAGTGTCTTCAAAGCCCATGACACCTTTGGTAAAGGCTGTTCTCCAACTGTAGCGCTCGCAGGCCAGTGGTTCCCAATTGTCTGTGTTTATACTACATTTTAAAAGATTTGGCATTTCTTTTCTCTGCGCTCCTCCCAGCGGTCATTCCTCCTCTGGTCACTGCTGTAGATGCATGAGCTGTCTGTCTCCAGGCAGAAGTAGATGTTTTTCTGGAACAGTAAAGAATTACTAAACTATAATCAATAAAAATAACGATAAGTCACAATGCCCATAAAATTATTTTTATAAGATATCCCTGTCCTTGTCTTATCTCTTCCCAGCTGTGGTGCTGTGGGCCCAAACATCTGGAAGACACCAGGTTGGCTGCCCTACACGGTGCAGAACAGATGCACAGTTGAATCCATAGATCCTATCTCTGACTCTCTCCCCCTTTGTGTTTCTGCTACGATCGTAGTGTGAGGACAGGTGTTGATAGGAAATGTCACTGTTATAAATGGCGAGGCTGGATTCATGCTTTATTTGTTGGCCGCTAGACACTGCAAATATTTCATCGACCAGAGGAGCAGCCTTGCCAAGTCTGCCTCTGCAAAATAAAAGCCCAACAAAAACCCAAAAGTCTCGGAGCACCTTCATCACAAACAGATTGATTGTAGCTTAAGCTTTCATGCACTAGCAGCCAGATACATCATGCGCATGAATTGTTATCATCCTAGGAAGATGCCTTATACAGTGGTACCTTGGTTCCCAAACTTACCGTATTTTTCGCCCCATAGGACGCACCAGCCCATAGGACGCACCTAGTTTTTTTGGGGGGGGGGAAATAAAGAAAAAAAAATTTTCCCCAGGTGTGGGGCTGGGGCGGGGGAAGCCCGAGGTTCCCCCGACCCCAGCCCCCAGAACAGGCTGCTATCCGCAAGCCGTGGGAGAGCTGCGCGAAGTCGCGGAGGACTGCGCGAAACCCGAAGCGCGCCCCAAGCTTCTGGGTGCCGGCAAGCTCTCCACTAGCCGTGGGAGAGCCGCGCGACTTCTCGCGGCTCTCCCACGGCTAGCAGAGGGCTGCGTGAAGCCCGAAGCTTGGGGCGTGCAGAAGCCCCAAGCTTCTGGGTGCAGGCAAGCTCTCCGCTAGCCGTGGGAGAGCTGCGTCTCCCACAGCTAGCGGATAGCTTCCTGAAGCCTGGAGAGCGAGAGGGGTCGGTGCGCACAGACCCCCCCTCGCTCTCCAGGCTTCAGCGAAAGCCTGCATTCGCCCCATAGGACGCACACACATTTCCCCTTCATTTTTGGAGGGGAAAAAGTGCGTCCTATAGGGCGAAAAATACGGTAATCCGTTCCGGAAAGCAATTCCAAAACCGAAGTGCTCTAAAAGCAAGGCGCACTTTCCCATAGAAAGTAATGCAAAATGGATTAAACCGTTCTAGACAACCCCTAAAACAGCAATTTAACATGAATTTTACTATCTAACAAGACCATTGACCCATAAAATGAAAGAAATAATCAATGTACTGTACTATAAAATAAATAAGACAGTACTACAGATGATATTAAAATTATTTTTCTTTCCTACCAGCACTGATGATAGTCATTGTTTGGATGAGGGGCTTTTATCCATTTCCACAATCACACAATCAATCAGTAGCTGAACTGGGTTCCACACAGTCACAAAAACGAAGTCACAAGCCACAGTCACATGTCAGTCGCATAAAACAAGGAACAAGTCACAGTCAAAAGAACGAAAAAGCCACACAAACAAAAGCACAAAAAAATAGCAAACACAAAAGCTCCAAATATCACCTCTGTGTTGCGTGGGTGCTTGGGACTCAACAGCCGACAGACTCAACAGGAAGCCCAATTAGCAGCACAGGACTCGATTTACAAATGGAACACACTCAACAGGAAGCGGTACATGTTCCGCTTCCAAGGCAAAATTGACAAACCAAAACACCTACTTCCGGGTTTGCAGCGTTCTGTTTCCAAGTTGTTCATAAACTAAGCTGTTCTAAAACCAAGGTACCACTGTATGTACTGTGTCAGACCAATGCTCTGCCTCGCAGAGGCGGTTTTAGGGGTGCTATTTTTCACAGGAGGCACTCAAACAATGATGGAAGTGGAGCAAGAGCAGGCGCTGAATTTTAATGCTGCTGAAATTTGAGAACCCAAAGTCCTCCACACCCGCCCGTCCCCTGTCCCCCAAAAACAGTACTTCTGTCTTGTCAGGATTCAACCTCAGTCTGTTAGCCACCATCCATCCTCCAACCGCCTCCAGGCACTCACACAGGATCTTCACCGCCTTCACTGGTTCTGATTTAAAAGAGAAGTAGAGGTTTTAGCAGCAAGGAGAAGCTAGACATCTTGTCCCTACACTTTTTAACAGGAATCTATGGCCTCTAGAAGTTGTGGTACTCCAACACTCATCAGCCCAAGTCAGCAAGGCCCATGTTCAGGGATGATGGGCGTTGTAGTCCCAACAACATCTGAAGGGCACCAGGCTGTGGAAGGCTGCTTGCCAAAACTGCCTGCTGTTCTGGTACCTCCAGATAGTTGACATTTCAGCTGTGTCCTCCAGCCTGAACCCAAATTCTTTCCAGCTGAGAGCAAAGACCTTTTTCATTTGTCCAGAGTTTCAGCCTGCAATCTTAGGTACAGTTATTTGGACATAATCCCATCAAACTGAACGGATCTCACTTCTGAGTAGACATGTCTACACAAGATTGGACTGCTGATGGATGGCAACTAACAGATTGAGGTTGAATCCTTACAAGACAGAAGGACTGTTTTTGGGGGACAGAAGGCGGGTGGGTGTGGAGGACTGGTCCTGAATGGGGTAACTGTGCCCCTGAAGGACCAGGTGCGCAGCCTGGGAGTCATTCTGGACTCACAGCTGTCCATGGAGGCGCAGGTCAATTCTGTGTCCAGGGCAGCTGTTTACCAGCTCTATCTGGCTGAGACCCTACCTGCCCGCAGACTGCCTCGCTAGAGTAGTGCAAGCTCTGGTTATCTCCCGCTTGGACTACTGCAATGCGCTGTACGTGGGGTGACCTGGAAACTACAAGTAATCCAGAATGCGGTAGCTCGACTGGTGACTGGGAGCGGCCGCCGAGACCACATAATACCGGTCTTGAAAGACCTACATTGGCTCCCAGTATGTTTCTGAGCACAATTCAAAGTGTTGGTCTGACCTTTAAAGCCCTAAACGGCCTCAGTCCAGTATATCTGAAGGAGCGTCTCCACCCCCATCATTCAGCCTGGACACTGAGGTCCAGCGCCGAGGGCCTTCTGGCGGTTCCCTCCCTGCGAGAAGGGAGGTTACAGGGAACCAGGCAGAGGGCTTTCTCAGTGGTGGCACCCTCCCATCAGATGTCAAAGAGATAAACAACTGCCAGACTTTTAGAAGACATCTGAAGGCAGTCCTGTTTAGGGAAGCTTTTAATGTTTGATGCATTACTGTATTTTAATATTTGGTTGGAAGCTGCCCAGAATAGCTGGGGAAGCCCAGCCAGATGGGCGGGGTATAAATAATAAATTATAATTATAATTATAATTATTATTATTATTATTATTATTATTATTATTATTATTAAAAACTGCACTCTTTTGCATGTAACGCTGAGGCTGTGGAATCTTCCTTGCAGGTGGCCGCATCCTGAAGTTCTTCCACAGCCCACATGAAAGCATTGACTTCTCTTCTCTGACCCAGTCCCCGATTGAGACAGTTCTGCAGAAATACCTCGGGAAAGGAGAATACCCGAACTTTCGGTCTGTTGCCATGTTCGAGAGCAGCTTTTTCCAGGTAAATGGAACTGCAGAGAGGTGGCCTGCAATGACCTCAACTAACTCTGGTGCCCGGCATCCTATTTTCTGTGGCTCAGTGGCAGAACATCTGTCCTGCATGCAGAAGGTCCCAGGTTCGGTCATCCCCAGGTAGGGCTGGGACAGGCTGGAGGCAATACTGTGCTAGATGGACAAATGGCCAGCTTCCTCTCTTCCTATAGCTTGTCAGAGCAAGTTGCAGGGGGTTGTACTGGACAGTTCTACGATTCTAGGACAATAAAGGGAAATGTAAGAGAAGCCTTGGGAACCTACAGCAGTAAGAGTGTCTCTCCTGAAGATGGAAGTGACAAGGTTGACCCAGAAATGATGTCAGGGCTGGTTCAGATGCAGGTCATCACCGAAGATGCAGAGACGAGCAGAAAAGTTAACTCTTTATTCAAGGAAACAGTGTACAATGTAGTAATGCCTACAGACAGGACTGGCCCCTATGAAGCAGTTGCCAGAACTGGAGGTCTTTGCCTTCTACTTCCTCTAAGCCTCAAACTATGTGGGGGGGGGGTGTCTGTGTTCTTTGTTCTGCTACAAAGACCTCCGTGTCCTTGGAGACAAGGTTGAGCTTAATACAGTAGGAGCAGCAAGCTTCTGCAACCTGTGTCCTCTCCACCTCTGCTTCATCTGCTGAATCTGAACTGCTTTCTGCACCTGGCTCCTCTTGCTTATGAAAGCCTGTTGCCTCTTGAGCATCCAACCCTTCCTTCCCCATCTGACGTGTCCTCAATGTCCCACCACCACACCCTGGGATCTGAGCTTCTTTTTGTGGGTATGTTCAGGGTGGCAGGAGAGGATACACAATACACAATACAATCTGGCTTGTCCAAATTGAAATGGGTTCTAATACAGTGGTACCTCGGGTTACAGGCGCTTCAGGTTACAGATGCCACTAACCCAGAAATAGTACTTCAGGTTAAGAACTTTGCTTCAGGATGAGAACAGAAATCGCATGGTGGCGGCGTGGCAGCAGCAGGAGGCCCCATTAGATAAAGTGGTGCTTCAGAGTAAGAACAGTTTCAGGTTAAGAACAGACCTCCAGAACGAATTAAGTTCTTAACCCGAGGTACCACTGTATTTTCCTGGTAAGACCCCTTGAATCCCTCCTAAAAGAATAAAGACACCACAGTCTTATTCATAAGGAACAAAAAGAAAGTTTACTCATGATCAGGCAGAGCAGAGCATGATCCCTGAAGGCAGCCTTTAGGCTTAAAGTTACAAGCATATACAAACAGTTTTACCCCATATGTGGGTTGACCTAGTGACTGCAGTTACCAGTAAGGGAAGTTCGCGGGATGAAAAGAAGATGGAAAATAGAGAGAGTGGCAGAATGCCTTGGCCTTTTACCAGGCCTGGAAAGGTCATGCCCACCCACTAGTCACATGCAAGGAAGGATGATCCAGGCCAGGAGGAAGTTTCAACTGGCTGGACCAAACATTCCCTTGCATGTCCACTCTAGGAAAACAAGGAATGCTGTACTTGGCTGCTCCCAGTGCATTACATCCCACACTTCTGAGGCTTCCCTAGGGATTCTCCAGCTGCTGTTGTCCACCACTCCTCGTCATCCAGCCAGTCCCTGACAGATCAGCCTCCTAGTCTAATCTAGGAGAGCTTTTTTTTTTTTTTGGCATGACCTTCTCCAACAGTTATGGTACTCTTGGTTACGGTACTCTTGGTCTTGAAAGACCTACACTGGCTCCCAGTACATTTCCGAGCACAATTCAAAGTGTTGGTGCTGACCTTGAAAGCCCTAAATGGCCTCGGCCCAGTAGACCTGAAGGAGCGTCTCCACCTCCATCGTTCTGCCCGGACAATGAGGTCCAGCTCCGAGGGCCTTCTGGCGGTTCCCTCGCTGCAAGAAGCCAAGTTACAGGGAACTAGGCTTCTTGGTGGTGGCGCCCACCCTGTGGAACCCCCTCCCACCAGATGTCAAAGAGAAAAATAACTACCAAGCTTTTAGAAGACATCTGAAGGCAGCCCTGTTTAGGGAAGCTTTTAATGTTTAATAGGTTATTGTATTTTAGTGTTTTGTTGGAAGTCGCCCAGAGTGGCTGGGGAAACCCAGCCAGATGGGCGGGGTATAAATAATATATTATATTATTATTATTATTATTATTATTATTATTATTTCTGCTACCCCAGGTGACGAAAAGGGGCCGGCAAATCTTCATGCACAACCAGTGCAATGAGGCCATCATCGGTATTGCTTCCACCAACATCAAGCTGCCACTACCCACTCTGATGTTTATTGCTCGCCCTGTTGTTGCTGGCCAAGTCTCCTCTGAGGACACAGAGGAACCAATGCTCACCAGGTAAGTTAAGGCATCACGTCCAAGTACTGCTGTGTTGTTGTTGTTTAGTCATTTAGTCATGTCCGCCTCTTCGTGACCCCCTGGACCAGAGCACGCCAGGCACTCCTGTTCTCCACGGCCCCCCGCAGTTTGGTCAAACTCATGCTGGTAGCTTCAAGAACACTGTCCCACCATCTCGTCCTCTGTCGTCCCCTTCTCCTTGAGCCCTCCATCTTTCCCAGCATCAGGGTCTTTTCCAGGGAGTCTTCTCTTCTCATGAGGTGGCCAAAGTCTTGGAGCCTCAGCTTCATGATCTGTCCTTCCAGTGAGCGCTCAGGGCTGATTTCCTTCAGAATGGAGAGGTTTCATCTTCTTGCAGTCCATGGGACTCTCAAGAGTCTCCTCCAGCACCAGAATTCAAAAGCATCCATTCTTTGGAGCATGCAGCTTCACCACTGGGCAGAGCAGAGCCATCCTGGCTAATCACCAACAATAGCCCTCTCCTCTAAGAATTTGTGTGTTCCTCTTTTAAAGCCATCCAAGTTGGTGGCAATCACTGCTTCCTGTGGGAGGTAGTTCCACAGGTTAAGTATGCCCTGCAAGAAGGGCTTTCTTTTATCTGTCTTGATAAGCTAGATGGATCGGTCCTCTTGGCTTAGGTACTGTAGCCTTATTGGAGTTCACCGATTGGGTCTGCGTTGCTCCGGGACAGGAGGAAGGAAGTCAAATGACACTGAGGTTGATTCAAAGAAAGAGTTTATTCTGCTCTCCGGATAGCAGAAGGCACTTGCGTGATCAAGTCCACAGCAAGTCCAAAGAAATGACAAGTTTCATGAAGTATATATATTCTCCAGGCACCCTCTCCCTCCTTCCCATATAAATCCAACCACGTCAGCCTATGTACGCAGGTTGACATCACATATGTTCTTGCTCTGGTATTATTAACCATAAAAGGGAATTCCTCTTCCTACTCTTATCTTGGAGGAAGAGGTCGTCATCTCCGAGAACACGCTCTGGCGCTGTTCCCAGATTGGGTCTGTGCGTCTTTTGTGGTCAGGACATAAGATAAGGTACAGACACATCATCCCTGCTCTACTGGAACTTGGCAAGGTCACTCATTGCCGCCACGGACTGATAAGGGAGAGAGCTGTGTTCTTGTTATACATTTGCTCAATGGCTCAAGTTTATGCATTTTAGCTAAGGAAAAATAGGGATTTTGGTGCAGTTTAAAACTGCCTGCACGGTCAGTTTTGGGTTTTGGGAAACCCATTCCTTCAGTACAAGGCAGTGGCTCCCCGCATCCTTCTGCTGAGTTGCCCTGAATATTCTCTTTCTGCGTCCTCTCTGCTGCCACTACAGGCTCATCCCTCTGAGATATGTGCGTATCTCCATTCACGACCCGGAGAAGCGGATCATCAAGATCAAGCTGATCAATGGGCGCACTTATTACCTTCGGTTTCACGCGACCAACGAGGAAGAGGAGCCCGTCTTTGACCGCTGGCTCTCCCTGGTCTACCTTCTCCAGCACCCACCCCCTTGCTACCTGAAACCACAACCCAAATCCTACGCCGTCCTGGAGAACCTCAGCATCCGCGTCTTCCCAAGTGACGACGAAGCGGTGAGTATGAGCAAGACTTCGCAGGGGGGGAGTTTTTGGGCCAGAATTGGGCGAGGGGAGTTGCAGGCACCCTTTGAAGCAGCATAATTCACAAGAGGATAAAACATTAGACTCTATCTGCTGCTGCTGTTGCTGCCAATCCTGCCAATGTCTGGCCTTCCCAGGCCAGGTAGGAAAAGGCTTGCAAGGAGTGACAATGTAAATTATTGTGTTTTTCCTTTTAATTTACTCTTGGTACCATAGAGTTTTAGTTATGTTCTCCCTCTCCCCCCCTTTCATATGTCATTTTCTTGCCTTTCCTTCCTTCCCTCCCCCCCTCCCTTCTTCCTCCCTCCCTCCCTCCTTCCTTCCTTCCTTTTCTTTCCCCCTTTCTTCTTTCTTTCCTTCCTTCCTTCCTTCCTTCCTTCCTTCCTTCCTTCCTTCCTTCCTCCCTCCCTTCCTTTCTTCCCTCCCTCCTTCCCTCCTTCCTTCCTTCCTTCCTTTTCTTCCTTCCTTCCTTCCTTCCTCTATCCCATCTTCCTTCCTTCCCTCCCTTCTTCCTTCCTTCCCTCCCTTCTTCCTTCCTTCCTTCCTTCCTTCCTTCCTTCCTTCCTTCCTTCCTTCCTTCCTTCCTTTCTTCTTCCTTTCCTTCCTTCCTCTCTCCCATCTTCCTTCCTTCCTTCCTTTTCTTTCTTCCTTTCTTTCTTCCCTCCCTCCCTCCCTTCTTCCTTCCTTCCTTCCTTCTTTCCTTCCTTCCTTTCTTCTTTCCTTCCTTCCTTCCTTCCTTCCTTTTTATTTCATTTTCTGAATGAATGAGAGAGAGAGAGAGAGAGAGAGAGAGAGAGAGAGAGAGAGAGGCATCTCAGTTGGTAGAGGAGTAAACTCTCAGTCTCGGGCCATGGGTTTGAGCCCCGTGTGGAGCAAACGATTCATGCATTGCAAGAGGCTGCACTCACTCAGCGACCCTCTTGGTCCCTTCCAACTCTACAATTTCTTGGTGACAAAAGCAAGCAACAATGCAATAACCAGTTCCTTCGGGTAAGTATAGATGGTGCAACTAAAGAGCTGTTTTATCATGGTGTGTTTACTGCCTTGGGCTCCTGCATGAGGAATGTGAATAAACACATTTTTAAAAAATTGCCTGCCCCTGCAGACATTTCTGCTACATCTGACTAGTTCCTCCCTTTCCCCCCCTTACACCCTGAACTCCAGGAGGTTTCTCCTCTTCCAGAGGAGCCAGAAGAGGAGGAGGTGGAGAAGGAGGAGAAAGAGGAGGCAGTGAAAAGCCCTGTCGAGAGCCGCGTCCTCTTTGAGGAAGAGGAGTATTCCACAGAGGAGAGGGAAGCGATAGAGGCAGAAGGACGCTTTCACTATAGCTTAAGGGACCTGTATGTGAGAGCAGAGAGCTATGAGATCTACGACAGCGTCCCCACAGTGCCAAAGACTCCCAAGTAAGACCAGAAGAGGACGGAACAAGGTGCCTCTAATGTTGAATCGTTACATTTCCTACGCCGTGTCTCAGACTCAGCCTTCCCCAACCTGGTGCCCTCCAGATGTCTTGGATTGCGACTCCCACCAGCGAGCGTGGCGCCAGGTAGGGGGAAGGCTGCTCTAACCACTTGGTCAGCTGGTCATCTATATCATCCTTTCAGGCAGAGGTTGGATGGCCATCGACCAAGGATTATTTAGCTGTGACTCCTGCATTGCAGAGGGTTGGACTAGAGGCTTGGCAGAGGGTTCCCTCCAACTCTGCAATTCTAAGATTTGATTATCCAATGAAGGCTTTTAAACAGAAGACAGACAGACATCTGTCAGAGAGTCTTTACGATACGATACGATACGATACGATACGATACGATACGATAAACTTTTTTGTCATTGTCCCATACAGAACAACGAAATTGAAAAAATCTACATCAGACATTCAAAAACCCACAAGCCTGCTATCCCAGCCATCCCAACCAGGTTAGCCCCTAAAAACTCTGAAACCCCATAATGGAATACAATATACCGTATTTTTCGCTCTATAAGACGCACCAGACCATAAGACGCACCTAGTTTTTGGAGGAGGAAAACAAGAAGAAAAAAATACTGAATCTCAGAAGCCAGAACAACAAGAGGGATCACTGCGCAGTGAAAGCAGCAATCCCTCTTGCTGTTCTGGCTTCTGGGATAGCTGCGCAGCCTGCATTCGCTTCATAAGACGCGCACACATTTCCCCTTACGTTTTAGGAGGGGAAAAGTGAGTCTTATAGAGCAAAAAATACGGTACTTACATAAAGACTTCCTTAAAGGTAAAGGGACCCCTGACTGTTAGGTCCAGTCGTGACCGACTCTGGGGTTGCAGCGCTCATCTTGCTTTACTGGCTGAGGGAGCCGGCATACAGCTTCCGGGTCATGTGGCCAGCAGGACTAAGCCGCTTCTGGCAAACCAGAGCAGCGCACGGAAACGCCGTTTACCTTCCCACTGGACTGGTTCCTATTTATCTACTTGCATTTTGAAGTGCTTTCGAACTACTAGGTTGGCAGGAGCAGGGACCGAGCAACGGGAGCTCACCCCGTCATGGGGATTCGAACAACCAACCTTCTGATCAGCAAGAAGAAGAAGAAGAAGAGTTTGGATTTGATATCCCGCCTTTCACTCCCCTTCAGGAGTCTCAAAGCGGCTAACAATCTCCTTTCCCTTCCTCCCCCACAACAAACACTCTGTGAGGTGAGTGGGGCTGAGAGACTTCAAAGAAGTGTGACTAGCCCAAGGTCACCCAGCAGCTGCATGTGGAGGAGCGGAGACGCGAACCCGGTTCCCCAGATTACGAGACTACCACTCTTAACCACTACACCACACTGGCTCTCACTAGCAAGTCCTAGGCTCTGTGGTTTAACCCACAGCGCCACTAGTGTCCCTTACACTGCATTTAAAACCAAAATTGCATTTGGGTAGAAACTGTTTCTCAGACAGCTAGTCCTAGTCTTTATAACCCTGTACCTTCTTCCAGAAAGCAGAAGCTGAAAGAGATCATTTCCGGGGTGCGCACTATCCTGCGCTATCTCTGCAGCTTTCTTATGGCACCTGGAAGCGTAGATTTGATCCAAGGTGGGAAGAGTGCACCCAATTATTCTCTCCGCAGTCTTTACAACCCTGGACAGCATTGTTTTTCCCCTGACCGTGCAGCTCACAAACCACACACACAGAACATAGGTTAAAACACTCTCCACAGTACAATGGTAAAATGCCATCAACAGGTCCTTTGAGAGATTGTTTTTCTGGAGGATTCTCAGAAAATATAACCTCTGCTGTGCTTCAGGATCTGTCCTTCCAGTGAGCACTCTGGGCTGATTCCTTAAGTATGGAGAGGTTGGATCTTCTTGCAGTCCATGGGACTCTCAAGAGTCTCCTCCAGCACCAGAATTCAAAAGCATCCATTCTTCGGCGGTCAGCCTTCTTTATGGTCCAGCTCTAATTCATTAGAGGTTTTAAAGCAGAGGTTGGGTGGGCATTTGACAGGGATCTTTAGCTCTGATTCCTGCTTTGCAGGGGGTTCAGTTCTGTGATTTGATGACACATCTTGGGCTTTCATCAGGGCCTTGAATTTAGCAGGGAAGCAAAGACACGGCCAGCCAAGATCTCTTTAAACATCAACGTCACACGACCCGTGAGACCTTCACCAGTTAATAACTGCATTTAGGGCCCAATGATTTTCCCAAATGATCTTCAAGAGTAGCCCCATGTAGAGTTCATTACAATGTGCTCATCTTTATCAAGGCATGTATAATGGGATAATAAACCCTTGGCGGACCATCCTCCAGCTGTCACTAATGTAACGGCTGACAACATTCGCAGATGTGGATGATGGCAGCCTTGCAGATGTAAAATGCAAACTTAACCAGTGCTGGAGAGGGGGGCATTTTCTAGAAAATATTCCACTGCTATATTTTCCAAAAATCTGTGCCCACCCCCCTCCCTCCACATTTTGGAAAAATAATTTTCATAAGTTAAAATTAGTGGCATAGCAAACAATACAAGCCTAGGCAAGTGGAACCGATAAATGTCAGTTAGTTGTAGAATAAAAATTTCAATTAACTAATTTATTAACAAAAATAGTGCAAGCATAACAAAGGTGGGGGGCAGCAAAGAATCAAAAATTTAAATCATAAAAGCATCACAGATTGGAAGGATAAAAGTACAAAGCTACAAAGAGATAATGAAGTACTGACTCATGCAAATATTCCCTTTACAAATAATAAAGATTTATTTAAAAAAATGTTCTCTACTTGTAAGTTCCATTATTATTGAGAATAAAGGACCTAAATGACCCAGGCATTTGCATTTACTGGTGGCGATGAGTGAACATTTGCTGCAATATCTGTATGAGAAATAAAACCATGCCATATATATATATATATATATATATATATATATAGTCATTTGAGATTTGCTCTTTAGATACATTTAGTTTAAGAAAAATCTTTCCAAAAAGGGCAATTTGCCAAAGCCTTGAAAGCAACAATCCAGATTATTAAGGTTTTTTAAATAAAATAAAAACTTGCAATTACCGGTAATTTTTTTCAGGTGATGTTTTCATGAGGAAGGAAATTGGAAAAAGTCTTGAGATATTTTTACAGCATATAGAATTAATGTAGGGTAGTATCCGGCTATGTTGTAAAGTGGACCCTTTGAAATCAATGGTCTTGATTACTCAAGAGTCGGACTGTGTACACACAATGCCTTTTAAAAAAATATCAGAGCACATCCTTTCCCTCAAAGGATTATGGGCACTGAAGTTTACCCCTCATAGAGTTGCAAGTTCCAAGCAACCTTCAACAAACTACAGCGCCCAGAATTCTTTGAGGGTGAAAAATCTGCTTTGAATGTGCTTTAAAGGTGCAGTGTGAACTCAGACCAAGCCTTTGGCTTGGCTGGATACGAGCCAGAGCAAACAAAGAAATAATAATAATATAATAATAATTTATTATTTGTACCCCGCCCATCTGACTGGGTTTCCCCAGCCACTGTGGGCGGCTTCCAACAAAGATTAAAAATACATTAAAATGTCACACATTAAAAACTTCCCTGAACAGGGCTGCCTTCAGATGTCTTCTAAATGTCAGGTAGTTGTTTATCTCTTTGACATCTGGTGAGAGGGCATTCCATAGGGCAGGTGCCACAACTGAGAAGGCCCTCTGCCTGGTTCCCTGTAGCTTTGCTTCTTGCAGCGAGGGAACCGCCAGAAGGCCCTTGGCACTGGACCTCAGTGTCCGGGCAGAACGATGGGGGTGAAGACACTCCTTCAGGTATACTGGACCGAGGCCGTTTAGGGCTTTCAAGGTCAGCACCAACACTTTGAATTGTGCTCGGAAACGTACTGGGAGCCAATGTAGGTCTTTCAAGACAGGTGTTACGTGGTCTCAGCAGCCGCCCCCAGTCACCAGTCTAGCTGCCGCATTCTGGATTAATTGTAGTTTCCGGGTCAAATTCAAAGGTAGCCCCACATAGAGCGCATTGCAGTAGTCCAAGCGGGAGATAACTAGAGCATGTACCGCTCTGGCCAGACAGTCTGCGGGCAGGGAGGGTCTCATCCTGCGTATCAGGTGGAGCTGGTAAACAGCTGCTCTGAGATTTGGCGGCTAAGAGGCTGGGCGACAAATTAGGAAACCCCAGGTTCAGACCTCTGCCATGAACTTTGCCTCAGGTGGACTCAGGTGAAGCCCCCTCTGAGTCACAGACACAAACACCCCACCTCTGTAATAGGAGGGGTCACAGTGCTGGCCTACCTTGAAGGCCCTTGCGTTTGCCTGTAAAGCACCATTAAGTATTGTCGTTGTTATTTCTAGGTTATTCAGCTCAGAAAGCTTTTCCCCTGGCAGTTTGTCAAGCAGTTCGTCTGCAAGAGCTACCAAAAATCCTCGATCGCCACCGCGAGTTTTCCCAGGTGTGTAGAAAAACATTCCCCACGCGTACTCTCCTCCTTTCTCTCTGCACTGAGAATCACAGGAAGGACCTGCACATCTCCTGGCTGAGTCAGACCCATTAAGCACATCGTCATCCTCACTATGGTCCAATATTAGCTCCGGAGAGATTTTCAAGAAGACAAAAACAGGGACATCTGCCTCTGACAAGGATACCCTTTCCTTCCTCCTGCGATTTGGGTGGTCCTTGTGACTCCAGAATAATAATATACAGTGGTACCTCGGGTTAAGCACTTAATTCAATCCGTAGGTCCATTCTTAACCTGAAACTGTTCTTAATCTGAAGCACCACTTTAGCAAATGGGGCCTCCCACTGCCGCCGCACCACGGCCACCCGGTTTCTGTTCTCATCCTGAAGGAAAGTCCTTAACCTGAGGTACTATTTCTGGGTTAGCAGAGTCTGTAACCTGAAGCATACGTAACCCGAGGTACCACTGTAATAATAATAATAATTTATTATTTGTACCCCACCCAACTGGCTGGGTTTCCCCAGCCACTCTGGGCAGCTTCCAACAAAGATTAAAAATACATTAAAATGTCACACATTAAAAACTTCCCTGAACAGGGCTGCCTTCAGGTGTCTTCTAAAAGTCAGATAGTTGTTTTTCTCTTTGACATCTGATGGGAGGGTGTTCCACAAGGAGGGCGCCACCACCGAGAAGGCCCTCTGCCTGGTTCCCTGTAATTTGGCTTCTCGCAGTGAGGGAACCGCCAGAAGGCCCTCAGCGCTGGACCTCAGTATCTGGGCAGAACGATGGGGGTGGAGACGCTCCTTCAGGTATACTGAGCCGAGGCCGTTTAGGGCTTTAAAGGTCAACACCAACACTTTGAATTGTGCTCAGAAATGTACTGGGAGCCAATGCAGTGTTATGTGGTCCTGGCGGCCACTCCCAGTCACCAGTCTAGCTGCCGCATTCTGGATTAATTGCAGTTTCCAGGTCACCTTCAAAGGTAGCCCCACGTAGAGCGCATTGCAGTAGTCCAAAGCCTCACCTGCCCTCACCCAGGCTGGGTGAGAGAATGCCTTTTGGTGAAGTGGCTAATTTCCACCCAAAATATGAAGCTGGTGGCCAGAATTGCAGTATTTCAGCCGTACCTGCAACTAAGCTCCTGCACTAATGGAATTTGTGGAAGAACAATGGCCTACTCTGGGAGCAGGTGCCAGCACCCAGTGTTCTCGGGACCCCAGGGCTCAGAAGGACCCATCTACTCTGTAGGTGGGCCCACCTTCCTGGAAGCCAGCCCTGATCCTGCTCAGCTACTCTAGATAACCTCCCTGTACCAGTTGCTAGTCGACAAAGGGTGACTGTAAGAAATCCCTGCTATCAGTATGGGCTTGCCGTCGGACCTAACCCTAAGGAAGCCCTCTGGGCTTCTCTATATGGCCCTTGGAAGAGTTTCCAGACCACACCCCTCATTCCACATTTTTGAGTGGCTGGGATGTACCCTTAAATTATAGAATCATAAAAGCTGGAAGGGACCCAGAGGATCATCCAATCCAACCCCTGGCAATTAATTCTTGCTAGTCTTGATGGAGGATGGAGAGGGGTATGTATGGAAACTAACCAACAGTACAAAGGAAAAATTGACAACCTTTGCTCCACCCACTTTAGCCTCTGGCTCCAGCCACAATAATAATAATAATAATAATAATAATAATAATAATAATAATAATAATTTTATTTATACCCCACCCTTCCCGGTTCAAAAACCAGGCTCAGGGCAGCTGACAACAAATTTAAAACAATTGTAAAAGCAGCATAAAATACAGTATAAAAGTGTGAATAACAATAAATTCAAAAATCAGTTTGGGGGAAAATCCATCCAATAAACATTAGATGGTCACAAGGGCTAGCTGGCTGAATTAGTCCTATTTGGGCCAGCGAGGAGACCAGGGGAGAATTAGCTGTGGGGTCTCAGAGCAGGTGATCTTCATAAAAGGGGAGGGGGAGGGAAGAGAAGGAAATAAAAGATCAGGCTGAATTCAAATTAAAGGCCAGGCGGAATAGCTCTGTCTTACAGGCCCAGTGGAAGAAGGTTAAATCCTGCAGGGCCCTGGTCTCACGGAACATAGCATTCCACCAGGTTGGAGCCATCACTGAGAAGGCCCTGGCCCTGGTGGAGGATAGTCTGACTTCCTTAGGGCCCGGGACCTCTAAACTATGGTTATTCATGGACCTTAAGGTCCTCTGCGGGGCATACCAGGAGAGGCGGTCCCATACATACAAGGGCCCTAAGCCACAAAGGGCTTTAAAGGTCAAGACCAGCACCTTGAACCTGACCCTATACTCCACCGGGAGCCAGTGCAACTGGTAAAGCACTGGGTGAATATGCTCCCATGGCAGAGACCCCGTGAGGAGCCTCACTGCAGCATTCTGCACCCGCTGGAGTTTCTGGGACATCTTCAAGGGCAGCCCCGCATAGAGTGAATTACAGTAGTAATTACATGTGGCCCTTCGGAAGTTGCCCGGAATGTGGGCCTCAGGATGGAAAAGGCTCTCCACCACTGCCCTAAGGGGACGGTTCTGACTTTGGGCATAAAGAATGGTGGTGTGGTAGTCTTTCAGTTCAGTCATTCCTTCTTGACACTTCAGCAAAGGACTGGAACCTGGGAGATGAGGGTTCGTATCTCCACTCAGCCATGGAACTCACTGGTTGGCCTTGGGCTAGTCACCGTCCCTGAGCCCCATCTACCTCGCAAGGTTGTCGCGAGGATAAAATTGGGAGGACAAACATGTACGCCACCTTGAGATCCTTGGAAGAGGAAGGTGGAATGTAAATGGAATGACTGAATGAATGGTCAAGGTCTCTGCTATTCCTCTCTTACGTAGATACAGTGGTACCTATGGTTGTGAACGGGATCCGTTCCGGAGGCCCATTCGGAACATGAAAGGAATGCAACCCGCAGCGGTGCGTCTGCGCATGCGCGGGTTGCGATTCGCCGCTTCTGCGCATGCGCGTGATGTCATTTTGCACACCTGCGCATGTGCGAGCAGCAAAAGCCGGAAGTAACCCTTTCCAGTACTTCTGGGTCACCGCGGGACGTAACCTGAAAGAACGTTAACATGAAGTGGATGTAACATGAGGTATGACTGTATGTGTGTCTGGTTTGGTCTTTTTTTGCAGTTCCGAAAAAAGAAGGATCCAGCAGTCTTAATATTGTCACGCTCTATTCCATCGTCTCCAAAACAGCTGAAAGGCAGGAAGGTGGGAAGAGGAAAAACTGAGCAGAGATGGGGAATGGTCTCAGCCTGAATGTTATGGAGGAAGCAGAAAGGGAAACCAGGGACTCAGGTACCAGAGCAAGACCTTTGGTGGTCCTTAGATTTTATTGTTAACAGGAACAGACGAAGAACTTGCTGGATCAGGCCGATGGCCCATCTCGTCCAGCATCCTGTTCTCACAGTGGCCATCTTGATGTTTGTGGGAAACCCGCAAGCAGGACCCGGGCACAAGAGCCCTCTCCCTTCCTTTGATTTCCAGGAACTGGGATTCAGAAGCATCCGATTTTCACTTTTTGCATAACCACAGAGCCTAGGGCTTGCCGATCAGAAGGTCGGCGGTTCGAATCCCCACGACGGGGTGAGCTCCCGTTGCTCGGTCCCTGCTCCTGCCAACCTAGCAGTTCGAAAGCACGTCAAAGTGCAAGTAGATGAATAGGTACCACTCCGGCGGGAAGGTAAATGGCGTTTCCGTGCGCTGCTCTGGTTCACCAGAAGCGGCTTAGTCATGCTGTCCACATGACCCGGAAGCTGCACGCCAGCTCCCTCGGCCAATAAAGCCAGATGAGCGCCGCAACCCCGGAGTCGGCCATGACTGGACCTAATGGTCAGGGGTCCTTTTACCTTTAAGCTGCTTGAAGAAGACGGTCCTTAAGCAGTGTGTAAACTGTTTGAATATATATATCAAAATTCAGTATCTTAAAAAGTTTAATTACAGTCCCAGGAAGAGGGCACATTCTCAAAACTTTCTCCCAGGTGTTAATGGCTAGGGTAAAGCTATGCTCCTTTGGCATTCAGCAAGGGCTGGTATTGAAGTCCTGATTTTCCAGGGATGTCCCTATTTTCATTGAAGGCAATGCTGTATAGGGAAGATTCTTTAAAGTATTTAATGCTTTATTATGTTTTTATATATGCTGGAAGCCACCCAGAGTGGCTGGGGCAACCCAGGAAGATGGGTGGGGTTTAAATTAAGATAATCATTATGGAATGGGACGTCCCGATTTTCATCGGAGAAATGTTGGAGGGTATGGGATCGTGAACTTGCAAAGGGAGTTCCATCACTCAGGGGCTGCCAGCTAAAAGGAGGTGCAGGGGGCGGGAATTCAGTTCTGTTTGTGCTTAGAGGAAAAGGAGTCAGGAGATGAGCTGCTTCACTACTTCACAAAAAATCACTACTTTTGAATCAGCCTGGCTATAGACTGAGTTAAGCACTTGAAAAATCCATTGAAATCAGACATTATAAATTCATCTTAGGATGGGTAGTTCGCAAGTCTCTGTGGCTTTGCATAAGGTTTTGTATTTTTCTCAGAAGATTGATAAAGAATGCATAATCATTTTAGTAATTATTTTGCGTATATTAGTCACCAAGTGGGAGGCGGGTGGCGCTGTGGGTTAAACCACAGAGCCTAGGACTTGCTGATCAGAAGGTCGGCAGTTCGAATCCCCACAACGGGGTGAGCTCCCGTTGCTCGGTCCCTGCTCCTGCCAACCTAGCAGTTTGAAAGCACGTCAAAGTGCAAGTAGATAAATAGGTACCGCTCCAGCGGGAAGGTTTCCATGCGCTGCTCTGGTTCGCCAGAAGCAGCTTAGTCATCCTGGCCACATGACCCAGATCCTATATGCCGGCTCCCTCGGCTAATAAAGCGAGATGAGCGCTGCAACCCCAGAGTTGGCCACGACTGGACCTAATGGTCAGGGGTCCCTTTACCTTTACCTTTATTAGTCACCAACGTGTTGCATGAGTCGTACTACTGGCTATAAGCACATGGCAACTTGAGGAATGACACCTTTGCTTGAAAATGGAAAGCACTGAAAAAGTTAAATGCAACTAAGCAGACATTTGGGGCTTCTGTTGGAGGGGACTGCTGAATACGGACGGTTGCTTCTTGTACAATGAAGTTAAAAGAGTAGAAAAATTGGGTGGAGGTGGGAGAAAGCATTCCTATCAAGGAAAATGTAGAATTAATTTTCTGTTTTTCTTTTTCACTTCCAAGCCAAAAAGGCAGGTTAGAAATCATCGTCGTCATTTTCATCACCGTCCAGAGATAGCCGCTATTGCAGTACTTCAAAACGCTTCAACCTTGCGGTGTTTGTCCCTCTGATATGCAAGGCGATGGATGCCTCTCTGTCACGCCTAGGTGATTTCACCCTTCAAAGCCCAGGGCTGGAGTCTGCAGGAGCCAGGATTCTGTGAGCTCAGAGAGGAGAGGACTTGAAGCCTGGAAGCAAAGTTAGAAGGAGGGAGGCAGAGGAAGAAGAGGGGAATCTGCAAATAAGAACTCAGGGAAGAGGGAAGGTGGAGATAGGTTTATTTTATTCTATTAAAAAGTCTGTTTTCACTGCCATCTTAAGCTCCTTTACTGTGTAAAGGCACGGCATTATTGATTTGTGTTTGTATAGACCATGCCCATTTTGTTTTCTGTTCAGATTGTTGCAATGCCTTCACCCACCTATGGCCAAAGCATAATAAACACAGCTCAGTTTTTAGCCCGGGTACTTTAAACTATCTTTCTTTCTTTCTTTCTTTCTTTCTTTCTTTCTTTCGAGAGTGGATTTCATGCTCTTCATTCAGCTCATAGTAGTGAGGAATGGAAGTTCCCCCAAAGTGTCTGCTTTATATACATTATTTACACAATGGGCTGCACGTGATTGGCTAATTATGGGATTCTCTTGTAGGCCAATCAGGTTGCGGATTCACTTCCACCTGGAGTTGGATTGGGTGGCTCCTACGGACCAATTAGACTGCTGCATTCTGGATCCTATTGTTCTAGGACCAATCAGACTGCTGCATTCTGAATCCTATTCAACTCAGTACATAACACCTTTCTTTCTTTCTTTCTTTCTTTCTTTCTTTCTTTCTTTCTTTCTTTCTTTCTTTCTCTCTCTCTCTCTCTCTCTCTCTCTCACGCCCACCCACACCCACACACCCCTCTTTAATTAACCCGGGATTCACCTCTTTTGTAACCTCATTAGCAATCAAAGCCAATAGGTAATTGAGCCGTACTTTAATTTCGAGAAAGAAGCCAGCTTGCGTTTTCCACAACATTGAGCAGAAACAGAAGACCTGACAGGTCTCCAATCTATTGTATTAGCAAGATGAGCGGGGTGGGGGTGGGAGTTCATAAGCGCACAGGGATGCAGAATTCCACCGATTAATATTCCTGCCCGGTCAGCATTAGCTGGCGAGCGCGGGAAGGAGGCAGCCGAGGCACAATGGGATCTCCTGGACTCTGTTCCTTCCTCACTCATATCTCGCAATCCATAGCAGGGAGATCTTAGAACCTAGAATTGAAGAACTGCGAACGGCCCCCACCACCACAAAGAAGGCTTCTCAATAGCAGAATTGCCAGGCACACACTGCTGGGTTATTCCATATCAAGTGATCCAACTTTTTTACCTTGTGTCACCCAATTTTCTTAATATTTTTGTACACTTGTCAAATGATCTAAACTAAGCTTCAACCTAAAATTTCAGCAAGCTATCAATCTGCTTTGGAACACATTTTTTAAAGAAAAGCCTGACTAGCTTTGCAGATAACTTTTAATTACCATATTTTTCACTCTGTAAGACGCACTTTTTCCCTCCTAAAAAGTAAGGGGAAATGTCTGATCAACAAGCAATCGGGAGGGGAGATATTGTACTCTAGAGATAAAGGAGGCTGCCTGGGATTGGGGAGGTAAAGACAGCAAACTTGCAAGGAGAGGAGACAGGAAGATTAAAGCAATGAGGAAAGAAATTAGAAGAAAAGGAGAGCGAAAAACTGCTCCAGCTAAGGAAAAGACACTAAGGCAAACAAGAGGGAAGGGAGTGTTGAAAGGAAGCAGCTGATCGGTGGGATCGGGAGCGAGATAAGGGACGCTAGTGATAAAGGAGGCTGCCTGGGAGGGGGGAGGTAAGAGCCCATGGATCCTCAGGATTTTTGCATTGGGTCATCCCAAATTCACCATCAGATCACATAGCATGTCCATGGCTACAGCTGGCACCAAAAAAAATCACACATCCACTGTTTCGTGGGGCCGCAATGGCACAAAAACGTGGTTACAAAGCAGAGATCCACATGGATTCTCAGGATTTTTGCATTGGGTCACCCCAAACTCACTGTCAAATCACATGTCTGTGGCCACAGCATGAACCACAAAAATCATACATCCACTGTTTCGTTCAGAATATTTTTTCCCTTGTTTTCCTCCTCTAAAAACTAGGTGCGTCTTATGGTCAGGTGAAAAATACGGTATATAACTTTCTAAAGAAATGCCTGATCTTATAGTTGGGAGTCTTGTTTCTTCTGTCATATTTATGACAGGAGTGCTCCCTGCCTGCCTCTCCATACAACCCCCCAACCCCCCAAATAAACCATTTGCAGAGGTGGGAAAATGTTTCCTGCTGCCTTGGCTGAGAAGGGAGCCCAAACAGGCAGAAAAGAGGAGTTTGACAGCCGTTATGAGCCCCAGATCACCAGGCGGGCCCAGCAGCCTGGAACGGGTTGATTGCCCCAAATCAGGATCTTCCTGTGCCGCCGTTCATCGAACGAGCTCTGGGAAGCACTTGAGCATGCTAGATGGCATCCGAGTCCTTTGTATTCGGAGCGTTTTGGAGCAGAAGGGGACCCATAAAACTCAACGCCACGAAAAGAGGAGAGGCGCGGAAATGACAACTCTTCATTGTAGTTTGGGGAAAATTTATGGGTCGTTCGTGGCGCGAGATGAGGCTGCCAAGTTGGGGGCTGAATTATTGGCTAGGCAGGCTTATTTCTGTTGGGGACTGAATCATTTGCTACACGTTATTATTTCTTTAACTGAGCAGAACCCATTGCAAAGAAAGCAGCGGCGAGGCTTCGTTTCAGGCTCAAGGGAGGCCAGAATCCACATGATACAGTGCAGGTAGTCTGTTGTTGTTTAGTTGTTTAGTCATGTCCGCCTCTTCGTGACCCCCTGGACCGGAGCACGCCAGGCCCTCCTGTCTTCCACTGCCTCCCGCAGTTTGGTCAAACTCATGCTGGTTGCTTCGAGAACATTATCCAGCCATCTCGTCCTCTGCCGTCCCCTTCTCCTTTTGCCCTCCATCTTTCCCAACATCAGGGTCTTTTCCAGGGAGTCTTCTCTTCTCATGAGGTGGCCCAAGTATTGGAGTCTCAGCTTCACGATCTGTCCTTCTAGTGAGCACTCAGGGCTGATTTCCTTCAGAATGGAGAGGTTTGATCTTCTTGCAGTCCATGGGACTCTCAAGAGTCTCCTCCAGCACCAGAATTCAAAAGCATCCATTCTTCGGCGATCAGTCTTCTTTATGGTCCAGCTCTCACTTCCATACATCACTACTGGGAAAACCATAGCTTTAACTATACGGGCTTTTGTTGGCAATCCCCTTCATGGATCACTGCCTTGCCATGGCGAAGGGGTTTGAATAACTCAGAGAAGCTATGAGCTATGCCTTGCATGGCCACCCAAGATGGACAGGTCATAGTGGAGAGTTTTGACCAAACGTGATCCATCTGGAGCAGGAACCAGCAAGCCACTCCAGTATCCCTGCCAAGAAAACTCCATGGCAGGTAGTCTACCCTCCCCTAATCCCGATGCACATGGGGCTAGAGAGCGGGATGTGGAAGCTAGGTACTCCGTGCATTCTCAGAGGCACTGAAAAATTTTCATTCATTATTCCCATTTATGACCTCCTCACGGATTTTCCTTAAAAAAGAAATGGATATGCCACCAACTCATATAGAATGCCGAGGCATCATGCAACAATGTTGTGCCCTCAAAGCAGTGCATCACACATAAAAAGGTAAAGGGATCCCTGACCGTTAGGTCCAGTCGTGGCCGACTCTGGGGTTACGGCGCTCATCTCGCTTTACTGGCCAAGGAAGCCGGCGTACAGCTTCCAGGTCATGTGGCCAGCATGACTAAGCCGCTTCTGGCGAACCAGAGCAGCGCACGGAAACGCTGTTTCCCTTCCCGCCAGAGTGGTACCTATTTATCTACTTGCACTTTGATGTGCTTTTGAACTGCTACATTGGCAGGAGCAGGGACCAAGAATCACACATAGATCAAAGCAAAAATTTACAAATGGACAGACCTACAAGAAATGCAAAAAGCAAGCCAGAGACAACAGAACAGCCTTTGCCAAGCTGGTGCCCTCCATATTTTGTTGGACTGCAATTCCCATTCAGCCTCAACTTCAATGAACATCCATGGATGTTACGAGAGCAGAAGAAAAACTTTCCTCTGTCCAGATCCTTTTCTGAACCTTTTCCAACTCTACAATATCCATTTTGCACTTATGCACACCCTAATCTCCCCACAGTGAGAGACTTCGCTGACCCTTTCCCTGAATATATGCATTTTGTGCTTGGGCAACTGCCCCACAAAATTCAGAGAGGTGGGAATTTCAAGGAGAGTTGCATTTCATCTTGCATCTTGCTTTGGGAAACACAAATCAGGAAGGTTTGCATTAAAACGTGATGTGGCCTGAACAACTCTGAAATATACCTGGAGTCGAGTGTGGATTTCATGCTCTTTATTCAGCTCATAGTGGTGAGGAGGAATGGAAGTTTCCCTGAAATGTCTGCTTTATGTACATTATTTACACAGTGGGCCCCACGTGATTGGCTAATTCCAGGATTCTCCTGTAGGCCAATCAGGTTGCGGATTCACTTCCACCTGGAGCTGGATTGGGTGGCTCCTGTGGACCAATCAGACTGCTGCATTCTGAATCCTATTCAACTCAGTGCATAACAAACTCCCATTCCTAATGCAACCCTGGACTGCTTGTCTTCTGGTGTAATTTTGCATGTGTCTACTCAGAAGCAGTGCCTGATCACCTCATCTGTCTCCTGAGAAATCTCTATGTGGGACAAGAAGCTACAGTTAGAACTGGATATGGAACAACTGATTGGTTCAAGATTGGGAAAGGAATACAACAAGGCTGTTATTATCTCCCTGCTTATTTAACTTATATGCAGAATTCATCATGCGAAAGGCTGGGCTGGATGACTCCCTAGCCGGAATTAAGATTGCCGGAAGAAATATCAACAACCTCAGATATGCAGATGACAC